CCTGAGTGAGGCACCTAGCCTACCGGATTGTGTTATCTTGAATTTTAGGTTGAGTGCTCTGTCAAGAAAGTCAGGAAAATACGTGACTGTATTGCTGTGTATAAAGTTTAAAGGAGATTTCATATTTTAGGTAGGGATTCCACCATTATTATTACGATTCCAACCTGATCTCACTGAATTTCCCGATTTCCCCTATTGTGAAGACTATCCTGAAGACATTTCTCAAGATTTAAATTTGAATCGATCAACCTTTTACTTAAAAAATTATTTGACTGGATCGTAATATTTAAGTACATCAAATCAATAATGGACTCAAATAAATCATATTGCCATTAATCATCGTTGAAGAGGCTCGATAAAAGACTGTCTTTCATTCTGGAGTACATAATTAGACTCTCATTATGCTTTAATACGAGCACACATTTGCTTGCGCCTGAGTGAACGCAGAAAAGTCATATTACGAAGACCCATTAGAATTTAACTCAACTATGAGAAAGCCAAAAGTAAGTTCCAGGAACACCTAAAGTCACATTTAGGCAACTTCGAAAACGAGGTTGACCCAGGTGTTTCTTCGAAAGATATACGAACAGCTGTGGAAACAACAGACACATTTATTAGTGATTTGAACCAATGGATTACGAAAACCAATGGATTTCTGCGACACCTATTGCACTGATAGACTCTTGAAAACTTATCCTATCAGGCTTCCAACACGATGAAGAGCGGAAACGAATCAGATGTAGGTTAACCAAAAGCCTACGAAACGATTGTGAGCAGTGGTGGGCGACGAAAGCAGAGGAGATGAAAGAGACAGCGACTGTTGGTAACACAAAACAGCTCTTCAGACTAATAAAAGAAACCGGAATTAAGATGTCAAGTGTAAGTGAAACAATCTCGGAAGAAGAAAGCACTCTTATCTGCCTTTAGTCCAAACGTTTAGAACGATGGGCGGAACACTTCAAGGATCAATTCAGCTGGCCTTCAGATACTCTACAGCTACCCACCATTTCCAAACACCCTGAATACAACATTGAAGTAGGCACCTCGACTCTAATTAAAGTTCAAAAAGCTATGGCTAATGTGAAACGATGAAGATCAGTTGGTGTGAATGGATTAACTCCAGAGGTCGTTAAGGATAATCGTTCAGTTTTAGCGATTAGGTTGACGAATATTTTAGCTAAACTTTGGGAACTGGACCCGATCCTATCTGACTGGTCGCAATCATCGATCGTCTTAATATGTAAAAAAGGATCAAAATCATCCTGCAATAACCATAGAGAGATTATTTCTACTAATATAGCATCTAAAATACTAGCCTCAATAATTATCGAGCGCCTAACAAAGACTCGTGAATTGCAAACACGAGAAAATCAGGCTGGCTTCAGACCTGTTCATGGCTGTATCGATCACATATTCACTATTCGCCAGGTTCTAGAACACAGACATTCTTATTGGCATCCGACAATGATAGTTTTTCTTGACTCTGTAGACCGAGATGTTCTGTGGCAGTGTCTGTCATTGAAAGGTGTACCTCAGAATTACATAAACCTTGTGAAGGCTCTTTACTTGAACACTACCAGTCGAGTGAGAGCTTATGGAGAACTGTCACCTGATTTCGCAACCTCAAGTGATGTCTGCTAAGGCTATCCACTATCTCCATTTTTGTTCTGTTTGATCATAAACTTACTACTGGAAATAAAGTTCTCGTCGACTGGATTTTCAGGAATTGATCTCCTACCAGGAGGTTCACATATTGACGCAGACTACCTTGTCTTGTTTGATAAAGACGTCGATAAAATGCAGAGTCTTTTGGTAGCACTGAACAACAATGCCTTTATATTTTGAATGTGTTCCTCCTCTTCTAAATGCAAGTTGTGAACCAAATATGGAAATAACTTTCAGTTTTACAGAGACTATTTGTGTTATTATCAGAAAGGGTTAGAATTATCCCCTTTTAAATGTTTAGAACTGAATTATTATTAGTTTTAGTTTAGATATGTACATTCTGATCGAAATCCCTTGCTATAATCATCTTATCACAATATTTCAGTTTAGATAGGTTGTGTTAAGCAGTGGTATCTAGGAGGTTCGTTTCATCGTATTTTAAACTTTTCAGTCAAATGTATCAGCATCCCAGATGGGACATAAAGCAGTCCCATGATTCCACTCCTAACCACAAACTATTAAATTGTTTCATTTCAAATCAATTTCTGGAAAATGATTCGAAAAATCTAATCTACGTAATTATATTTATTGACCTTAAATCTAAACGTATATGTTGTCGCCCGAATTACATAATAAAATTACTGATTTTATTTTTATTTTTTCTGTGAAGTACACGCTGAATTTTATTATGGTCCATAGATATAGTCTGAAATAACTTATTGTAATATCTTACCTATGGTGGTATATATTGTATAGAACAAAATTATTTTTTTCCAAATTGTTTAACTAATGACGCCTTAGTATTATGATGAATATAGTTTCTCATCAGACGATTCTATTTATTCGTCAATAATTTATTAAATTGGTTAGATTATTTGTACTTCCAGTTAGATGATTTTATAGAAATTTAATCTATTTCGAAGGTAATCTTAATTATGTTATGAACCGATAAACAAATGAATAGAAGATACACCATAATAAAGACATACAGATAGCTAGATATGAATTATAAAATTATATGCTTTAGATATATTCCATACAAAGTTAATTGTTAGCTTACCCAAATAAATGTAAGAGTTGAATAGTTCATGTGATTTCTTGTCCGAAATGATTGTAATTACATTTGTTAATAATAAATGATAGTAAAGAGACCTAACAAAAATCCCATTCTCTTTAGTTCTTTTATTAATCGATTTATCGAGAATGTAGGCATACGGTAGGGGATTTTATTTTCAGAAGAGAGTTTTATGGAGATTTTAGTAATGTTAGAGTTGAAATCATGAGTCAATAAAAGCTAGATCACCATGGAAAACCTGCAAACACCGGACGGCCGTTTCGTCCTGGCGTGGGACTCCTCAGTAGTGCGCATCCACGATCCTGCCTCGTGAGATTCGAACCCAGGACCTATCGGTCTCGTGCACGAATGTTTAACCTCTAGACCACTGAGCTTGCTGGCATCCAACGGTGTTAATGTTAAACTTCAACCAATCCACGAAATCGAGCAACCGTCCACCATTGTCTTCAGTGAGCTGTTATCTCACAACAGACCCAGTTGAACTCCACTGGTCATTGCTTCTCACTAGAACTCTTGGAAATACCTCTTGAAGCCAGTCACTAGTGAGCATATGATTACTATCAGAAGGGAGTTTTTTTGAGATTTTAGTAATTTTGTAGTTGTAATCATGAGTTTTACTGTTTGATCCATCTTTAATTAAGCACTCAAGCTAGTCTTAAACTATTACATAGCCTTCAAGTGTCGCCTTTTTTTCAACACTCACCCATGTTTTGTTATGATCAAACTGAACTAAGATCTGGCAGAAATTCGAGTATACTAAGCCATACGTACTAAAGTGTGAGTAAAATAAAATCATACAACAGATATGATTGAAATTATCGTCATGATAGCTTACTCTACAGCTCTCCTAAACATTTTATCACCAGGATATGTATGATCGTCATTCGACGAACTGAAGTAGTGTATTAATAAAATAAATATTAACAGTTTTGATTACTATTTTACGAATAATTTACTCTCCTGGTTCGTGTTCTTTTTTCTGTTTCGAGGTGAAATGTTCGGAAATAAAATTCAAAAACAAGACGAATAACGCATGAAACTATCTAAAAGATTAAAAGGAACGAATATTCCATCCATTACAGAAGTTAAATCGATGATCATCAAGTTTGTGTAATTATACTTATCCATGTATCCCTTTATTATTTATGGGTCAGGATACATAGTTCTTCTTGATCACTCACATCCAATACAATGCGTTATGCACAACTCTTTGGTTTTCATGATTCAAATCATAAACTGATTTTAGCTAGATCACTATTCCATACTAGGAAATATTGGAAAGCTATTTCGTTTCAGTATGCAACTCTTCACTGATGTTTATCCATAACACAACCAAGGGGCCAACACAAAACCTTTAGTCTCATATTTGAACCCTTATCCTTCAGACCACTGAGCTGACATTCAATGATGTATCCATCCGACTTCAATCAATTCACGATATTATATAACCCATCTTTCATTGATTGTCGTTGAACTCCATTGATTGCCTTTATTTAGCTCAAATCTTATATTTTCATTTAGTAATTTACTTCCGATTTAGTAAAAATACCTACCTAGTTTCGTAAAAGTCCACTTCGAACTTGTAAATAGGTGACCCGTTAAATTTTCTAGATTGGTTGATCATTCATTACAAGACATATTCCTTATATCTGTGTAAGAATTGGATTAGTAAACAATCTTACTTGAATAATTTGATTGACCAGGAGAGTGTTAGTTTCATTTATCAAATAGCTTTCATTCACAGGTCAGATTTTTAAATTATAAAACAGTCCAAAAGAATTATTTGGTGTTTAAAAGTACAAAAATATATATTCAAATAAAATTTTGTCCTAAAAGTAGTCAAATAATTTATAATTTTTGCAATAGTGTTTCAAAAACTTTCAGCCTATCAAATGGAAATCCTAGTATTAGATCATATTCTGAGAAGCTGGAATGTTAAACAGTTACCATTAACGTGTTACGTTTTATTCAAGTTTATAAATTGTTATATACAATCTATTTTGAGATGGTGGAGTTTTGTAGCTCTGATGGATGATTTTGATGGAGTTTTGTTCTCTGAGCTGGATCGTTTTTTGGTCGTGGGGTTTTCATCATTCTTCTGAACAAGATCATCAGCACAAACTTCTACCCGAAACTCCACGACCAAACCATCCAGCTCAGAGAACAAAACTCCATCATAAAAATAAACCTAACACTTCATATATTTAACCTAAAAAACTTCATTACTCTCTTGTTTGTTTGTTTGTTTTTTTCATTGCAGAAATTCTTCACAAGAAGTGTGTTTGATTTACGCATTGAACATTTAATTTTAAATTCGGCAAATTATTTAAATAAATCAAATGAATCAATATCTATGGAGAAATGCTTTACATATATCAATATTAATCAGTGTCATTTTGTTTTAGGCATATGTATCTCTGAAACAAAATATATAAATAATGTAAGCCAGCGTATTTCATTGAATAGACCAATTCTAATGAAACATCAAGATAATTTAATTCATTCTTATAATCGAACATCATCATTTTCATGGGAATTTTATAATGATTTATTACCAGTCGATTGTGAAATTGGACATGGACAAATTCTAACTGGTTTACTTAATTTGAATACATCAATTAACTATGTTAATTTAACTTACAGTGTAAAATTAAGCACAATGATAAAGGTAAGTAATAACTTCTTAGCACTATTTGTACAGTTGTTCATTAAGAAATTGGTCTCCTTATTAGTTTTGTTGAAATCCATTCGACCTTGAGATTGCAATGTGGTCAATGGAACAACTGGTTGACTTCGATTGACTATTTTTGAATAGTCAGTAAGGGATTGTGGAGATTGTTGAACTTAATTAAAATCATGAACCGATAAAAGTTTTTAAATAACTGTCTGATTCTACAGAAACCGCTAACATCCTAAATCACTTAGTGTCGGCATCTTTAGATATACCAATATGGATGATTTGGAGGGTTTGTGCCTTTAAAATAACGTAGTTATTCGGACAAAGTGGACGTCCCCTTTATCTCCGCCTGCATGGAAATAAAATAGCGTTCAAACTCTAAGATATTATTTTCGCTTAGATCAATACATGTGAACAGTTTCGGACACACATTCGACTGAAAAATGTTGAAGAACAATAACCAATCAAGATCGAGGTCAACAGGACAAGCTGTAAGTCATATGTGAAGAAATTTGAACACTTCATTAATTCCAGAAGTTTCCGCTGATGGTGTTCAGAAGAACAGTGAAAGGTCCACGACTAAATGATGCAGCCCAGAGAACGAAACTGCACCAAAATGATGATTCTCAAAACCATATGTTTACTTTATTAATATCATAAATTGAGATACCTGAGCTTATGGCTTTTTGTCAGATGTACTAGCCATTTGAGCTTGATGAAGCCATATATGGAGAAGCCTATTGGCTTTCTGGGAGGAAGATTGTCGTTTCTAGGCGCATAAACCATCTGTGTGGATATTTTTTCATGGATAAATAGTTGGGAACCCCTAAGTCGCACCTCGGATAGGCAAACGTTACTTGCTGATCGGCGAAAAAGAAGTTTTCACTTATGCATCTTGCAGTGTACACACAGGTATACTAGCTCCATGGGAATATTAATGGTCACCACCTTTTCCATTCGTATTTGCTTTCTCTTTCTGGTACTTATGCGTCACATCTCTACCAGTTTTACATAAGCTTGCTCTCATGGACATCACAGAATACATATAAACATGAAGACTCTTTCAGTCACCGCTCCCTTCACTTGTATTTGCTACACCTGCTTCATATTTTCAGACCAGTTTTTATTAAAGTCAGGCCTTTTGACAAAGGGCAGACTGTCTTTTCAGTCCAGCCCTTGTGCCATATGGACATAACCACACACAAATCACACATGCCGGGACATCCAAATCATAAACATAGGGATTCACAAAGGACAGACCTTTACGGTTTTAGTACCTCCAAAGTGAGGTCTGCGGATAGTTTGAGATAGAGCAAGTTGATGGACCAGTCCAATTTCCGCCGACCGCTCAAGTTAGCTAATGGGGTTACCCCCATTATACAGCAGTGCCACAGGGAGGACCTAGGGCTGACTTTGCTACCAGGCTATTTGTAATAGTTTTATTTTACAAATTATATCTTGTTTTCATGTAGATCTTCATTTACTTAAACTTTTAACAACTGACTTTGAGGACTATTCATCCATGTTTCTACACAGATTACTCAAAAACATTTTTCTTCAAAAGTACACATTTATCATAGGATCAATAAAAGCCACTGATTATATTAGTCTTATTTTAAATTGATAGTGTTAATTTCCTTCTTTTTGTTTGCTTATATATTGATCTCACTTGGTAAAGACCAGTTAGTTCGAAATCCTAGAAGAAATGCAACATTACTTTTTCCAGAACTTCTTACTGCCTTTAAATTCATATTAATGAATAAGTCACAAGTGAGGAGCATAATCCATTGAATAAATTGGATACGGTGGCACTAATTTGAATGACCACTGTTCTAAGAACTACACGTAATTGGCCGAACTGAACAAAGTTATGTCTGGATCAATAATTCACTTTTTTAAAGCCATTGTGCTGAAATACAATCGAGAGATAAAAAGAGGCAAGAAAAAAAGTTTCATTGTGAATAATTCTGAAACTCTTTGATTCATACTAACTTAGTTTCTCAAAATGTTACAGAAAATGTTTAGAAAAAACTCAGTTTTATTATCTGGAAAATGTACATGATTCGTCTAAAAAGTTATTTGACGTAATTTTATCCTTGAAAAAATTCCCAATGATTAACTTAACTCAGTTTCAAAAGAGCTTTGTTCATCTGAAGACCTAAAGCTATAATGGTTCATTTACATGTAAGGTCGTATGTATCTACTGCCAATGCACCTTAGTTTCTACTGGTTGTTTAACGGATTACAATTCGTCATAAAACTGACCAATTTCTTCACAATAACCTCCAAAATCAACTATTATTCTATCAAGTAGTAAAGAGAATAATTAATCACAGCATGAAGTAATCATTCATCATCAGTGGATCATCATCATCGGAAATGATGGGATGGAAAAGTACACGTACTTCTCTTACACTAATACCAATCATACATAAAACACCAATTAATTTTATGTGAAATTACAGTAAATGTTTAATTTATACCAGTTTAAACAGATGGGAATTGACACATTGAATTCGAATATCATCGTTTTTATTAAAATCTACTTCATTTGTTTCTTGTTTATTTATCTTACATGGTTTATTTTTTTTTAGGGTTGTTGTTTATGAATAGTGTAAGACTGTGATATAAATGAAAACACATGTTCTTTCATTTTTAATGCCTTATACGAAATCCTCTAAAACTTGCATTGTTATTTTACGTGAGGTATTCAAGTTTTGGATTTTGTAAAGTATGAAAAACATGTAATTTCATTAATTAAAACATCAATAATAACAATAACTTTTACTACTACTGTGGTGTGGTCTACTTATATCCATATAAGTAGTATATGGCGATGGTCAGACATAGAATGTATATTGGCAGAAGATCAATAAGGAAAGAACTAAAATGAAGCGCAATCGGTGGGAAAATGCATGAACAATGAAATTAGAGAAGATTAACTGATATTTACAGAAGGAACAGTGAAGATTGAGACAATTGATTGTAATTTTGCAAATTAACTGTTTGTTGTATGGTTATCAGAATTTAGTGAGATAGTCTGTAATTGTTGCTTAAATACATTCGATTGTCCCTAACCGGTGTTCTGCCCACTACACTACTACTACAACTTTAACTAGAGAGTGGTACTTTGAAGAAATAAGTTAGTGAATGAACACATTGAGGTTTATTACACAAAAACACACGTATGTAAGACCTGAAATGAATTTGTAGATGAAATTATAACTTTAATCCGTAAAAGTTAATTTTTGAAATTATTCTCTATAATAATGATTATGGTAGAAGTTATTCACCGGGATTTACGTCATTGAGTAGTAATAATAATAGCCAACCAATAAAGTTTAAACACTTAACGTTTGTTACATTCATTTGTAGTCAAGTTTATCAACAGTAATGGTTGAAGATATTCAACACTAGTAACTTAGTTGCTTTGAACACGCTAATCTGTCTAACAGATGTAGATAATTTATTGACTTACTGATAAATTTGACGAAACATATGATTATTGATTAATAACTTGACTGTCGATGCCAACATTTATTACATTTGAATAGCTTTTAAACTGGTGATTTCTATCCATTTTAAGAAAACCAAATCAAAACTAAAATGACTCTTTTCAAGGAATAACAAAGTAATATACTGAATACATAACTAGTAAGTCATCTGTGAGAAATCGTTTTAGCTGATAGTAGGATTTACAAAACATATTTCAATTTATACACCCTTTAGTTATTGGGGTTTCTACAGTTTAGTATCAGTCGAGTTTCCGTTCATAATTGGTTGGTTATTGGTGATGATTTTTTCTCATTCACAAGATCTCCAAAATTATTTTACAGTCGTAAACTGTTAACCCATTTTATTGCATTGCACTTGTTTTGTAAGACCTGAATTCTACAATCATTTGCAAAAAGCTATTTAGTATGATCTGTATTGCTGTATTATTGTTTTATAAACCAAACTTTTATTCTTACATCATATCTTTCTTGTTGTAAAATGACTTTTTAAGTGAAAATAATTTGTATCCCAAGTTTATTTACTTCATTTGGATTGTTAACTCAGATTATTTACAAGCCGTTTTAGGCTTTAAAAGACGATTAATTGACATACATTGTTGTGGTCAGCAGTACTAAGTGTAGTTTTAGGTGTATTCGATCTATATTTCTGGCTTGTTATCGCTCGTCACTAAGCAAATGTCTGATAGCTCGTACAAAGCATCTTTTCCTCAGATTCATCAGCCTAAGTCTGATATTGTTACGGTTAATGATTCTGTAATTGCTGAGCGATGATCAACAATGTATATGGTGTCTCTAGTGGATAGACTTTACAGCAAGTGCCTCTCGCAGATCCTCCCTCCCACTTTATATATATATATATATATATATATATATATATATATATATATGACCAATGCAATCTTGACCATCAAAATTCTACAATCTCCACAAAATCCCCATATGGAAAATAGTGATATGGTCTCTGGTTGCTAGTTTTCAATTGCGATTTAAGGAGTTCCATTGAGAATCTGTGGTTAGGCGAGTTAAGCCGTGTCGGCTGTGAGACAATTATACACCACAGCTAATGGAAGATGGTCATATAATATCGTGAATTGATTGAAGTCGGATGGATAGATCATTGAATGTCAGCTCAGTGGTGTGAAGGATAAAGATTAAAATGTGAGACTTAATTCTTTGTACTGGACTCTTGATTGTGTTATGGACATACATCAATGAAGAGTTCCATACTGAAACGAAATAACTTTCTAATGTTTCGTAGTATCGAATGATGGTCTAGCTAAAATCAGTCTGTGATTCAAACCATGATAATGTAATAAATGACTTCTGGTGTATTTTTAAGAAATGGGTAAGTGTAATACAAAACAATCCCTTGCAAATCGGTCGAACTCAACTTTATTTCAGCAAAACTGATCATACTGTAGACTATCGTTCACTTTCGCATCGATGTATTTCAGTACGAAAATCATCAACATTCTACGAATTTTTCTCTGCTGCTTGGAGACAGTTTTGTGATTAAGAGCGGAATTTTGAAAAGAAAGTGTTATAACTATAATTCATACACGTTACATAAGTTAGTGGCTATCCGCACTCAGTGGTTTAATGGATAATGAGTTTGGAGTTAGGAGCAAAATGTAAAGATTTAGTCTCAGTGCAGATTTATCAACACTGGTACGCTGGTATATCTAGTTGATGAGTCTTAGTTAGGATAAAACTCATATCCGAAATGCCAATATTAACCCCTATTCAAATTAACTAAAAAGATTTAAACATACGTAAATAGATTTTTAAAAAGAGATTTCCAAATTACTTTTCTTTCGACTTACTGATTTATTTTTATTTTCACTTTCCAAAACAATTATTTTTCATTATTTTTCTCTATTTTATATTTTTAGCATAATTTAAAATTGTTATTCAACGTATATCATCTTACATCTAGTGGAGGTATGGAAAAAATGTTAATGCGTTTACTCTGTACTCTTTTTTTCGTTGGTGATTAGTTCATTTTAATACTTTTGTCTTTCATTTCAATCAATTTCTTTTTATCATTAAACTGGGTTTTATGGAGATCGAGGAATTATTCATAATTTACATCAGAAATAGATCTTATTCAGACAGTCATTGAAATTCAGGGAATATTTGACAGTTGTTTCATTCTCGTATGGAACTGATCAATAATGAACATTCATCACTCCTCCGAGGATCAAACTCAGGAACTTTAGATAGCTCGGCGAGCAGTTAACTTTTAGATCACTCATTTAGCATCCTAGGGTTTACTTTTCTAACTTAACGCAATTCGCAATCTTTTTTTTAGCGTCATTGGTAACTAGTTATCTCAATATCGACATGGTGAGACTCGACTGGTCACGGCTTTTCATTAGAATTCCAGGAATATATCTTAAAGTTTTTAGAAAGTTTAGTACTACTGTAATTAAGACTAGACCGTTTGACAAACTCTTAGTTTACGGAAATCTTTACTCATCATCTTAGCCTAGTCGAAAGTAGCATCAAATATAAGTAAAAATATTTCGAAGTTAAAACTCAAAGACTAAATTGTGAGGTCACGGCACAATTATTCTGTTTCAAGAAAGTTTTCAAATCATATTGGATGATCTGCCTAATTCCAAAGAGAATGTCTACAATTCTGACATAACAACTGTACTAAATAACTGAATACTACCAAATCCAGTAAGCTACAATAGAATTACTTAAGTTTTGAATGAGAGTTTTGATCGCTTTTAGTTCGATTAATTTTAGGAACGTTCAGAAAAGTTTCCGTTCATAAAGTCAATCTACTGAAGTCATTAGTTATTTCGGGCTAACAAAGTATTAGTAAAGTTGAAAAAAATATTTGTAATTTTATCATCAGATACAGTACGTCAGATTTTTATATTTCACCAAGATGCCTGAAGTGTGCATCATAAGAATTTATGTAACAAATTATCACGGATCAAAATGGAATCAGCTGACATTGTCTATTCCATCGTGGTTTCACTAGCTTGAATTAGTGGGAATATTATTTACCAGTTCAATAAAGATTTATTCACAGTAGTCTGACAGGTTCTAAAACTAAAGGCTAGTAGCTTTATTTTTGCCATGTTTTCTCATGCAACTCAAAATACATATATAATAATGACAAATGTAGCTATAAAGCTAGGTGAGAAGATGTTTCGACACAGCATACATATTTGTATGTATATGTTGATACAATGGAATTTCCAAATCCATATTTCCTATTCGCTGAAACAAAACTCATTGTATAGGTAAAAATCAAAACAAAATAATTTTCTTCTATATTCAAAAGAATCAACACCGGAATTTTACACTTAGGAGTTAGCTTGTTTATCAAATTAAAATTATGTCTCGCATACAGTTTGCTTTTGTACATACTATGAATGGATCAGCATACTATAGCAGCAATATCCAGGTGAAGATGGACAATCTTGGTGTTAGTATCAGCTATAGAAAGAGTTTTCTCCGTAATTTCATTTTTATTATCAGAAGGCTGTCCAGTGCTTCCAGGTTTTCCATGGTAGTTTAGCTTCAATTGACTAATGATTTCAACTATAAAATTTATATTTATTACCAATAACTCAAATCATAGGAAATATTGCACGCTGATTAAAATAATTGTTTTCATTCCCCCTTTAATTAATAAATATACACATTTAATTGTGGACGAACTAACTATTTTTCTAGTAATCCTGAACAAATCACATATTTTCATTATTTCAGATTTATGGCTAATTGACCAACTATCTTCAATATTATCCAGGATTGAACTAAATCAACCATGGAGGCCAATCAGATTGCTTGAAACTGGACATAACTCAAGTACAGAAATACAACACGCATTTAGAGATGAAAATACTGTAAACTCATCGTCTTCCTCATTAACATTATCTCAAACATATTTTAATATTTCAGCCAGTTATCGTTATTCATGCACTTTAAACTACTATGGAGAACATTGTAATCATTACTGTAAACCACGTGACTCAAAATTAGGTCACTATCAATGTCATCCACAAACTGGTGAGTTAATATGTAATGCTGGATGGACAGGGGCAAGGTGTAATCAAGGTTAGTGATCAATCCATTTTAATTTTGATTCCATTCCATTTTTATGTAGTTTTTCGTAGTATTAAAATATTGCTTTTTACACATGGTTTTGATAATAGCCTAAAGTTTTTAGATGAAATACGGTAATGTTAATTGTGTCCATCAGGTTCGTACTACTTCTGATCCTTTGAATTAAAAGAACAATTAAAAGAACTTTAGCCTACTTACTTTGATATCCTTAAATATGTTTGTTTGGATGTTTCTATTCGTATGATGGTCTTTTTCAAATACATTATCACTGAACCAAATGGTATAGAAATGGAAATTAATTTAATTATATCCACTCTAATGATGAACACTTATCCGAAGGATTTTATAAAAAGGATAATTAAGAACGGAGAACAAAACGATATTATTAAAAAAGAGGTAAGAAAAAATAATGAGTTAGCACAGTAGTGAACGCATATCGTGAAAGGTATTTTAGAAGACATCAGAAGGATCCTAACTATTTAAAATATTAGAGTATCTTTTCAAACCAGCAGTACTCTAAGATCAAAACTAGTAAGAATCAAAAACCCAATACATAAGGAGGAACAACAGGATTTTGTCTATGAAATCAAATGTAGTGACTGTAATGCAACGTATATAGGTGAAACATCAAGGCAACTGAATGTGAGGGTGAAGGAACACAAATTATGCTTAAAGCACATTCTTAAGTCCTCAGATGATGTAAGAAAACTTGAGAACAAGTCAGAGATAGTATTACAGTCAATAGAATCGGGTCATACAATTAATTTCGTTGGCACAAGAATCCTTCAAAAAGGCTTTAATTCTTACAAAGAGAGACTAACAGCCGAGGCCCTACACATCCAAACAGTATTATTAGGAGAGATAGAATACAATTAGCTGTGTCATGACAGCTAATCATTAATAAGTAAAAACCTGAGCTGCTTTCCGTTTTATCTATCACGTATTATCTAAGTGACAACAATTACATTCAATGATTCTAATCAGTTGTCGTATTGGAATCCGTTAAACAATTACTTGGAACATTAAAATAACACAAATATTCAGTTTCAAATTACATTCTCCCTCTTCGAATTTCACTCTTGTATCTTGTTTATTTATCTTCATTTTATGTATGCTGTGACATTTTGATTCATATCATTTATAAAATTAAATGTTTTCTTGCAAATTCGCCGACCTGAAACAATATACAGTTAATGAGATTTCTTCTCACACAACATGTTATCTTAACACTTCATTTCATACCACATGTCTCTCAAACACTAATACAAATACCTACTTTAAACACTTTTAATGCTGATTGGATGACCTGTTCAGTATACAATGAACCAGAGAACCATGTACCTATTCATATTTGATAATTTTGATATTTGATTATATTTCCTTGAAAAAGCTTGGACCAGATTGGCAAGCGAAAAGTTGGATTTACTTCATATTCATTCGCTAAGATTTTACAAATGCATTCTTTCTATTTAATGTTTCACATCAGCTCGACGCCCAAATACTGTAAAACCATTCGATCTAATCTAGCGGAAAGTTCTTATACATATTGAGAATAATTTTTTGTAATATCCTTCAGTTGTTTGTGTTCTGAATATTTCACTCATAACTGTGCAACTATTTATATCTACTTGATCAGTAAATTGAAATAAAAATAACGTCCAGCAATACAACAAATACATTCCACAACTCTTGAATATCAGCTTTTAGTTTCGATTTGGGAAGGACAGGAAGTTGAAGATCCTGGTGCTGTGAAGTAAACGCGCGACAAATACAAAATATCTTTCTTATATATTCAGAAAAGTATCAGAGACAAAAGGAACTCTTGTTATTAACATTTTTGATTTGAATTGACGTCTTACTTATGTTACAGTGTCATTTACGATGTATATTGACTATTTGTGAAACATACAGGGTTCTTTTATTACTGATAACTAGAAATAAGTAGTTAAATCTGTCATGTGCAACACTTACGATAAACAGTTATTTAGAAAAATAAGATTTGATATGATGATTTATACTTTTGAAATCACACATCGTGATCATGAAATTGGTGGATTTGAACTAGCTTTGTGGCGTTGGTATTCTGTAGTCATATGCTGGACTGTCACCGAAGTATCCTGTTTCATAAATATCAAAATGCACGTATGGACATCAGGATCAGATACAAGTCACAGTAAACATCCAGATATGAAACACCTGAATTGATTGTGTCTTAGCTAACCAAGATCATATCGTTCATATCTCTAATTTAATTTACCACTATGTATGAGAAAGCCACCACCTCGTAGGACAATTTCAGGTTATTGTAAAAAGTGCTGAATATCAAATACTGACAGTCAAAAGTCTTTGAAGAATCTGAACTGTATTATCAAAATTGATATATCTAGAAATTTTAGGGGGAAGAAAATCGGCATACTTAGCATATTAGTTTGTCTTCAACTTTCTGGGGAGATCGAGAACTTTTATACAACTTTCTAGCCCAGCTAGTTTAATCTTAAGTTAGTTGTCATATATGGCATATCACGAGTGGGATATAATTCCAGATGCAAGATTAGAGATGAAATCGTAAATCGGTTTCATAACACTGTTGACTTCACCTAAATAATCCCCAACTGATGATTTGAAAAGTTTGGAATTTCATACCTCACTCAACGTCAGCTGTGTAATTTTAAACTGATTCTGTTATTGTGATAGTAATGGTTTGACTTCATCAATCAGTTAGGATACTTTCCAAATCTAACTTGTCATTAATTTGTTATGACCACAACATTAGTTTTAAAAAGTGAATCAAACTACTTCATATTTCCGCTGATATCTCCTGATATTAAACTTAACTCATTTCTTCTACGCAAGGAAAAGTATAGGGACAAGAATATAACTCTAAGTAAAAGAAGGAAGGTAAATCTAGTAAGTGAAAAGCTACTCCACACCTCAAATATTAGAATCTCGACCTAGATATTCAGCTAACGAAAGCCAAGTAAACCAAAAACTAGGTCTGTCGCTTCTTTTCGACTGTTTCCAACTACCCAACATAAAAACGGAAACTTCAAGGTGTAAGACACCATTTATTCTTCAAATTAATTAATAATACAGCATGATCTAGTCACCCCAGTTATCAGGTTTTTAAGTTACACAATCTACAACTTGTCTGTAGAATATCAAAAAGTCCATTTCAACACCATTCATCTATAGACATACTATAATTATTTTTGTCCAGAGGATTTTAGGAAGATATTTTGTAAATACTTTACGAACCGATATCCTATAAGTTTTTCAATTGTTGATAATTTCATTGCTAGCATAATTTTTGAACAAAATATATCTTTTTTCTTCTTGAATTTCAGCACTTTGTAGAAAAGGTTGTAAACATGGAACTTGTGTTGGACCGGAATTATGTCGGTGAGTTTAAAAAATACTCAGAGTTATTTAAATGGTTATTTGAAAAGATTGGAATTATCTTGTTTTGATCATCTTAACCGGATTCTGATCAGTTTATGTTGAAATACATTCATCTTGTGAGGACTGCCTCAACATAGCCAATTTTCAAAACTTTTTATAGAATAAATGGAATTATGGCTAATAAAAAGATCCAAAACTCATGTTTTTTCCTACTTGGAAATAGTCAGCTGGATGTACTCGTATCTCAGTGTTACTGTTCATAATGAGACTCGAACGCAGGTGTATTCAGCTGACTAGTTTCAAAGAGGACGAAATGCGCTTTCTGAATTGCAATACTAATCACAGATCCATCTATTCTATAAACTTTATTCACTAACTACATTTTATAGAAATAATCTATTAGATAAGACTAAAACTATCGATTGAATCTATCGTTTCTGTGAAATATTAACTTACTGAGTTGAAATAATTGATAATTTACAATATTTGGCTTACTTGCTCAGGTATTTTAGTTTTGTAATATTGGAAATTGACTGATAATTGCGCTTCTTTATACTGGTGATCAATCGCTTAAATAAAAGATCTGAATTTCACCCCTACTGCAACTTATCCGACAAATGTGGCTGCAATTTAATAGCTGTATGTTTTCCCATGCTACAAATTGTCATCGTTAGTGCTTATAGATTTTACATGTTAAAGTCATATCATAAGTCTATTCAATTGAATCAAAAGGCATCACTGCATGTACTAGGGTTAAACGGCTTAGTTTGGCCAGCAGAAAGACTTAAATCTAGGTTTTGTGCTAGTCAGGACTCGTTAGCAAGGTATATAAAGTAGTACTTCTCATTGGATTTTACCTCATATCATTTAGTGTTACTGTCAGAGAAGTTACCACTATGTTATTCAATCCGTGTCAGTTGTCACAACAACTAGATCTGTGGTTTGTTTTTAACCACTGTACGTCGAAAAGTAGTGTACTCAATATCAAGTTACTTAGACTGATGAACATATTTATACTTGATCGATAGAATTCGATCAACACAGAGGACTAAACAAGTATGACATTTTACAACCTATAACCAAAATGCACACAAATGTTTATTCGTTTAAACGATTCATGAATAATCACTAAAATCGGCAGCAAACTCAGGACGTTCAGATTTCGCTGTGGAGAATTTATCTTCAGACTATATCGTTATAACCAAACTGTCCATGTTCCAATTTTCAATATGTCATTATTCATTATTTCGGAATCTCTTTCTGAATGAAAATAGGTTAATGAACCCCCCAATATATCTCACCAATGATCAGGTAATGATAATTAGAGACTGATAAGAGAATTTGGTCATTTGTTTAAGACTGATCTGAAGAGTAATTTTACTTATCAGTAATGCATAATTCTTAAAAGATAGGATCAAAGTGGTACGTTTTAATACCTTCAGTGGCTGAATGTATCATCAGATGACGTAACATATTGTCTAATACTTTTCACCTTTAAAATTAATAATTCTTCTGATATAACAATAAATGACTACAATATTAGGCTTCAAGCTGCTTAAATAATTTTCTTTTGCTCCGTTAGTTGTATTGATGGATGGACGGGTTTGAATTGTGATCAGTGTATTACAACACCGGGTTGCTTGAATGGACATTGTCAATTTAACTCAAAACACACTAGTTACTTACCATTTACGTGTGAATGTGAACCTGGTTGGACAGGGATGCTGTGCAATATCAGTAAGTTCACATCAATATTGGTAAAGTTTCTAATTATCCAGTTATTGATATTCGGGACTGAAAAACTTCTAAACAAGTTAGTGGATATATGGACTCAGTAGCTTAGTGGATAACGCACTGGCTCTTAAAGCGAAAGGTACTTGGTAATCAATGAATACGAATTATCGAAATTTATCACTGAATTCCGAGCCATCATCCGAAGAAAACTAGTCACATTATTCTCCACTGCACTTGTCTCTTGTTAAGAGTAATTTCAATCTTTCCTTTTTTCTAACCTGAGCTTAGAGATAGGGGAAACAGATCACCAAGTTAGAATGATTTTTTCTAGAAAGTCATAGGACTGTATTGCTTGAGCACTAGTTACATATGTAACGTAGAGTTGATAAGTATTTGGAGTGAACTATTAATTAATAAATGTGTACTACTCATATCAGCCACAGGCCTCTCATTATCTTGAAATCTCTTCATGAAGGAACATGTATTTCCTGCCTAAATTAATTTCAGATACCTGTATATGGCGACCTGAAATATTTTGCTTTAAGATTTCAAAAAACGAGTAAAATGAGAAGAGACTGAATAGTAAAATATATTGCTCATGTAAGTTGTCAACAGTTAGAGAATATGGACGAAATTTGAACTGACGTATAGCAGGTTAGGTAACTAACTGTTGGTTATGGTAATAAATACATATATCCAATTATTTTGCATTAATAATCTATATCCAAGCCTATTATTCAAACAAATAAAATAAGTACCCATTCTGTTTCAGATACTAAGTTCTTGACACGGTTATGGCGACGTCCAGTTACCTCAGTCATCCAAGACTCATGCGTGAACAATCATGAAGATTGTCACATTAGGACGAGATAGCTATCCACATCCTCCTGATTTTTAGTATTTTCTAGCTAAATTCAATCTTTGGTGTAAATAGAAAACTGAGCTAATTTCACAATTTTAGATAACGTTTGTTAGTAACTTTGATCTATCCGATGCAATCAGTTAATAAGAATGATAAAACAGTTCACTTTTTTTATCATACTTTATTTAATTTCAGATATGCGCATATGTGATAGTAATGAATATGTAAATATCTGTCAGAACCACGGTATTTGTATCAATCAACCCGACCCGAATGGATTAAAAGTATTATACAGATGTGAATGTTTGCCAGGGTTTTATGGAACACATTGTGAAAAACAAATTAACAATTGTAAATTTCATGGATGTAACAACAGAGGAACTTGTAAGGTAAGTTAAAATCTGATTCTAAATCTTATTCCTATTTAGAAACAATGAATTTGAATGGTAGTATTTATACTCTGCCATCAACTAGAGTTTTAATCAAAAAAATTAGATAATTTGGAAAAAAACAGTAGGTAGCCAGAGAAGTCTTGATAATTACTATTTTTGATCTACTTGACATTCACAAAATTTAAATTATTCTTAGCTCAAACAGTTCAAATTGCCAGATTTATTAAGTGATGCATCAATGACAAATGCCTGGTTAGAATTACACATGTTAACACTTAACAACTACTTTCAAGTCATGTTGATGAGTAGTTTGTAACACTTGCTTTCTATCTTTCTTAAACTGTTTTACAAAAATGGATTTTAGAAAATTTGGATCTATTGAAAACTAGTCATATTATTATAAATAAACTGTATGAATTTTAAACAATCGTAAAAATATCCGATCAGCTCAATGAATCAGTACTGGTCCTTTACGATTCATTATCAAAAAAATATGGCTTATTTCAATATTTTATGTTTGGAGTTGATATTATTTCGAAATGAGTGACTTTCGATGCAGTTTTCATCACCACTTTTTAAGTTTGAGAAGCAAAAATTCGCAAGCAGGTGTATTTCTAAGTTCCTCAACAGTATGCATCAACGTGATTGTTATTGTGATTACATCTGAAGACCTCGTATTTTTAGATAGGCTCCGATAATATTCAATAAGACTCATCCTCAAATCCATAGACTTTTTTGTTAGCAAGTGCGTAAATGGAAACTACAAATTTACACGTTACTTTAACATGTTTCAAAGTTCATAGGCGGACATGTAATCAAAGGGCTAACTAATCAACGTGAGAGATTCCTGGCTTTAATGTTATTTCCGTACTTAGGCATAAAAAATCTTTAAACACATTTGAAGACTAAGTAAGTTTAAATTCGTTCAGTATTGTTTGTTTGAATCTTCCCATCGATGTGTTTAGGACTGCAACTGGTCAGTCTCTAATTGGCATATGTGCATACTGTGCATATTGCCTCAATATAGCCTTAATTCACAAGCATGGTAAGCAGAGATGGATAGTGGCTAGCAGTGGAATCCAGAACGCGCGTTTCGTCCTATTTGGGACTCGTCCATCTCTGCCTACCATGCTTGTGAATTAAGGCTATATCGAGGCAATACGCACAGTATGCACATATGCCAATTAGAGACTGACCAGTTGTAGTCCTAACACATTGATGGGAAGATTCAAACAAACAATACTGAATGAATTTAAACTTCACCAAATCGCACAAACAAGTGGCTATCAGGACTCAGTGGCCGAGTGGATAACGCGATGGCGTTTGAAGCGAGGGTACTGGGTTCGAGTCCCAGAGTGAACATCAACTCTGAGATGCAGGTACATCCAGCTGACGAGTCCCAAATAGGACGAAACGCGCGTCCTGGATTCCACTGCTAGCCACTATCCATCTCTGCTTACTAAGTAAGCTTATTTGAAAAATCACACATGGATATCAGATATGTTACTCAGAAACTGTAAGCACAGCAAACATAATTTTTAACATAATGGGACAAAGAGTTAATAATATATTGCTTGAAGTCAAGTCCCATGAGATTATAAATTTCGAAATAAAAGCTCCATTCAACTATGATCATGATTAAATATTAAAAGTAAATTGGAAAATTTACGTAAGGCACTGTTATCAACTAGGAGAGAGAATACTCTGGTAAGAAAAAGAAATAAAGATGAAGTGATAGAAATCAGTCAGTCCAGCGCAACGTAAAATCCTGCACATGTATGCATCCATTCAAGTTGCCGCACTACATCAACACAGAGAGATAACAAAGCTGTATAAATACTAGCAGTATTAATGGTTATAGAAAAGATAATGCATAGAAGTTAAGTTTTGAGGAAAAAATGTGGGTCCGTGTAATGAAAATAATTATTTAAATAACTAAGAAACTTGAGATCTAAGGGAAAACAAAGAGTGATAAACCTCGGTTACTATGATAAATTATGAGCCATGTTATACAAAATCTGAAGCCACTGGTTATCATAATCGCGCAGACTCTAGCCGGATAGTCTGAACCCGTTTTTACAGTTTAGTCCAACAGTCGATTACTTTATGGGTTGAGAGTACATAACTGTTCCATGCTTTTCTGAAATGGTCTGATTAATCCCCGAATTTTTAATATCTATCTATCTGGTAAGTCTGAAGAGTTGTATGCAATTTCCTTACTTCGATGTCCTTTTACATTCATCTTACCATCGTTCTTAAACAATGCTAGCGACCATTTCATAAACTTTTTTTCAGTTTGTGTTTAAGTTGTCTTCATTCATCATCATATTCTAAGTCTAATAGGATGAGTTTCCAAGTATCTGTCAGTTCAGTACATGCTATCGAAATCTGCTAATATTTATTAACCTTTTGGTCACTGTTATATATGTTCACTGAAACCATTAGTACTGTGAAATAACTAATATTGCAATTGTAGGTTTGTAAAGCCTTGTCAGTTTTCAATAAACTTTTCTGGCGTCACAGAATATAAAGACAAAGGTTTCAAGTTCACTAAGCCTCAAATGGAACACAGTAATTCGACAAAGTTTAACGCTGCATAATATTTTTAGTTGAGATAAAAAAAGAACTTGTTTTTGACGTGAACATTTCACTCCCATTAAATGAAGTTAATTCAACAAGCAATCAGTAAATTCAGTTACAACTATAGAAATAATTTATGTAATGATGTGATACAATTGACAAAACTTAGAAACTAATGTCAGGAATGGTAAGCAAAGATGGATAGTAGCTAGAAGTGGAATCCAGAACGCGCGTTTCGTCCTATTTGGGACTCGTCAGCTGGATGTACCTGCATCTCAGAGTTGATGTTCACTCTGGGACTCGAACCCAGTATCTTTCGCTTCAAACGCGTTATCCACTCAAATATAGATGGTGGCTAGCAACAGAATCAATAGGAAAATTCAAACTTCACCCGATTGCACAAGCAAGTGGCTATCAGGACTCAGTGGCCGAGTGGGTAACGCGATGGCGTTTGAAGCGAAAGGTACTGGGTTCGAGTCCCAGAGTGAACATCAACTCTGAGATGCAGGTACATCCAGCTGACGAGTCCCAAATAGGACGAAACGCGCGTTCTGGATTCCACTGCTAGCCGCTATTCATCTTTGCTTACCATGCTTGTGAATTAAGGCTATATTGAGGCAATACGCACAGTATGCACATATGTCAATTAGAGACTGACCAGTTGCAGTCCTAAACACATCGATGGGAAGATTCAAACAAACAATATCTAATGTCAAGAATGTTTAACTATCTATGCTACTCAGTGATTTATTATTCCTTTTTATCCACTAATATAATACTCAGTACGGTGTTCCATCGATTTAAGGTTGGTCAAACTTTATCTAGTGAAACCGATTTTGCTATTCTAGAATTGGATTCTGTGTTCTCAAGGCTTACAAACCCACTGCGTGGATGTGATTGCATGAAGAAATCGTTGCCTCCCAGGTCTTGGTGTGTGGGCGTCATACCAAAGGGCAAGTATAGTCTACATGCAAACCGGTAATAAATAAGCTCTCATTCGCTAATTCCTTAGAGTATACATAGGTATACTTACCCTGCGAACAAATTTACGTTACATGCATACTAGTAATGTACAAATTTTCTTTCATGCAGCCCATAACAAACATATAGGTATATTTACCTACATGCTAAGGTTGATAATATTTTTATTACTGCTTACTTTGCAGTAATTACACTAATATTATGCATTATGCTATTCGATATAGAAAGAAGGCAATTGTATATGTGATCCAAGTTATTATGGTTCATTTTGTCAATTCAATCAAACAACATGCAGTCAAGATCCATGTTTAGGAAATCTATCTAAATGTTACATAACACCAAATGAAACAGTAATAACTAACAATGAGAGATCAAATCAAATTGTAAAACAATTCAAATGTCACTGCGAACAAGGGAAATTTGGTGAAAATTGCGAATATGATCTAGATGAGTGTTTATTGGAACCATGCTTAAATGGTAAGTTTATTTTAGAAGGTTCCACAAAACTTTGTTTTCTTTTGGTAGTGTATCAACTTTATCTCAACAACTTACATTTTTTCAGTTCACATTACGGACTAACTTTGACTAGGCAAATATTGAAAACTGGAAAGAACTGGTTATGTGTTTTGTCCTATAATTGAACTCTTCAACAGTATACGTCTATAACTCCGTCGGGGATCGAACGCAAGACCTTCAGGCCTTACGATGAGCAGTGAACTTTTTTCTTCAGTGGATTGACATCTCAGGATTTACATTTTTAACTTAAATCAATCCGTAATATTGTGCAGACATATTCCGATGCCACTAGTGGGTTACTGTCTCTCTCTCTCGACATGAATGCACTCCATTGACCAATCCTTTTTAAAATGAAGAACCTCCCTTCACTCTCTCCGTCTGGATATCGTTCCACCACCCGTCGATGCAAGCTTAAAGCACACCGCAGTTAAAGCAGAATTTCATAGTTTGAAATCTAGATTATTACCTAAATATAATTTGGATCTATTGTAGAGCACAGTTGGTCTTTCAATACTAGAAAAAATCAGTGTTAGATCTGAAGATAAAAATCTTAACCAGTTAAAAAAGTCCATTCGTTAGGTCATTTAAAAGTGCGTCATAACCAATCATGAATCAAGTCCGATTGGAGTTGACTAAGTACTTACTTACTCTTGTTAACCCTCTTTGAGGAGTATAGGCCGCCCACTAGGATTCTGCAACCAACTCTGTCCTGGGCAATCCTTTCTAATTATTTCCAATTCCCATTCGTTCTGTTGATACTTGTCGCCGATTCCGGAGAGATTGTTTTCCTTGATCTTCCTATTTACCGTTTCCCTTCACGATTCTAAGTTAGGGTTTGTGTCATGATGTAGTTTGATGATTTTTGTAATGTACTTCCCATCCACCTCGAGAGTCTTTTCCTACTTTCCTCTTCATCCGGAAGTTGGTTTTTTCTCCCCCACAATAGGCTGTTGCTAATGGTATCCGGCCAACGGACACTGAGTATCTTGTGTAGACAATTGTTTATAAATACTTGCACTTTTTTCATGACGGATGTAATAGTTCTCCAAGTTTCAGCTCCACACAGTAGAACTGTCTTGATGTTCGTATTGAAGATTCTGAGTTTGGTTTTGGTTGACAGTTGTTTTGAGTTCCATACGTTCTTGAGGTGTATGAATGCGGTCCTAACTTTGCCAAAATCCGTCTTAAAGTCCGCATCGGATCTTCCTTGTTCATCGATGATGCACCCCAGGTACGTGAAAGTTTCCATCATTTCCAGGGCTCTTCCATCAAACGCAATTGGGTTGGTGTTCTCCGCACTGCATTTGAGCATCTTGCTTTCTCCCGTGTGTACGTTGAGGCCTCTGCCGCCGTTGAGGCTGCTGATACATTGGTTGTCTTGGTTTACATTTGTTGGTGTGTATGGGATAAAAGAACTAGGCTACTTGCAAAATCCAAATCGTCTAGCTGCACCCAAGCCTTCGACTGTATTTCATGCTTCCCCTGAGATGTGGAGGTCTTCATAATCCAGTCAAACACCAGGAGAAAGAAAGTGGGCGGGAGTAAGCAGCCTTGTCTGACTTCGGTACTCACTTGGAATGGTGTTGACGATTTTCTCATGTGCACCAGTGTCAAAGAGGGTTCCACAAGGCTCTCCTATCCACATTGTTAAATGCTTTCTCATAGTCAAGGAAGTTGGTGTATAGTGGCAAGTTCCATTGAATTGATTGCTCGACAATGATCCGCAATGTGACGATTTAGTCTGTGCACGAATGATCCCTACGGAATCCTGCTTGTTGGTCTTGAACTTAGGCGTCTACTGAATCTTTAAGTCGGTTCAACAACATAGTTAAAAACGTCCTGGTACCAATAATACTGTGATGCCTGTGTAGTTCTCACTCTTCCCCAGATCTCCTTTCTTTAGCATCCTTCTTTCCAATCTGTTAGTACTTGTTCTTTCTCCCAAATCTTTCTAAATAGAGCGTGGAGCATTATTACAGATACTTTTTTGTCTGACTTCAGTGCTTCAGCTGGTATGTTGTCTGGTCTGGTGTTTTGTGGTTTATTAAGTAACCAATGAATTCAAGTTACTAAATATAAATTCTGTAAATAAACTCTGGGCACAAATTATTAATAGTCTATATAAAAATTATTTGTTCCGTAAGTTATTCTAAAAACAGTCTACCATTTAATGACAGTGAATTCGATAATTGTTACTGGATTTCTCCTTACATCTGTTCATTCAAAGTGAACAAACAATATTTTATGCGTTGATCAAGAAAAGATGGTAACAAATGAGAAATTAAATTATTTGGTATTATTGTCCTGTCAAAAAATTTTATTTTGCTTGTGGAAGAACGAAGCTATAGATTAGAAAGTTGATAATTACCTATTGAATCACAAGTATAAACAGCTTCAGGTCCAGATAACATTATTAATAAACCATAGATTAAAAATCAGCTTATAAATCCAAGTCTAAGAAAGATACAGCAATACAATTTACATGATCTGTTCGGTAGATAAAATAAATAAGCTACTACTCTTGTTAAATATAGGAATAACTAAACAAGCGACTTGTTAAATTACAATCAAGTATGCACCATTTTGAGTAATATTGAATTTATTAGCTTGCCTTTTTCCAGTTATTAATTGCACTGAAGACGATAAAATTTGAAACAACAAAAGAGTTGGAGGGTATGACTTGTGAGAATTTACAGGGATATTTAGAATAATCTAAATGAAGATGAAACATGTGCATTGGCACAACTGAGGAGCAATTTGAAGGGGATAAGATTGATTGCATAAAATAAGGTTTGTATGAATTCAATTTACTTGTTGATTGGACATATTACGTATTTAAGTATAATCATATTTCCTACTAGTCGTTTGGCTAATAAAGCATTCCCGATAATAATCTAAGACCACGTTTAATTTTAACTTTCTATCGAATAATTTAAGTTGTAATCTCACTATTTACTATCTGATACGAGTCCTTATTAAAGTTGAGAAGTGATTAACAGTGGCATCCAGGACGAACATTTTCTCTTGTTTAGGACAAGTCAGTTGGATATGCCTTCACCTCGGTGTCGATATTCATATTGAAACTCTGTTTTAATCCTTAACATAGACAATGGGATAATATAAACCCTTAAAAAGAAGATTCATACTCAATTCATAAGCTAGTGACTATCTGGATTCAGTAGCTTAATATAAAACGCGAAAGATTTTGGAGCGAAAGGTATTCGGTTTGAGCCTTGGTATGAGTATCAACACTAGATTGGAGGTACATTCCAAATAGGACGAGATGTGTGTTCTGGATTCCACAGCTAGCCACTCTCCAATATTAGTCATATGGGTCACAATTTAACAACCGACATTTTTAAAACTTTTAGGTGGTCAGTGTGTTGATTTGATAACCGGTTATCAATGTATATGTCCACCTCGTTTCACTGGTCCACAATGTCAATTTACATTAAAAGCATGTCAAAATAATTCATGCTCTAATGGTGGGGAATGTTTAGATGAATCGATCAGTTTTCAGTGTCATTGTTTAAAAGGATGGAAAGGTAGAACATGTCGAGAAAATATTAATGAGTGCTCTGAAATACCAAAACAAACTGGTCGTTCATTATGTCAAAATAATGCTGGTTGCCGTGATCTCTTAGGATCATATAAATGTTTATGTTCACCTGGATGGAAAGGAAAACATTGTGAAGTACGTAAATCAAATAAAACACAAAATAATTATAATTATCAACATCATCATTCTACCGACGATTGTCAACATGATGTAAATAATTCAATAAATGAAAATCGACTGAATCATCGTTACAATGAATTTTTAATATTATTTATTATACTAACAATAGCTTTCCTTATAGTGATACTTTCATTAAGCGGAGGAATTCTATTTTTCTGTACAAGTTATAAACATAAAAAGGTGAAACAATCAAATGATCCTTCGACTTGTCAAATGATCAACTCAAATCTACCCAAAACAATTGACAATTCCAATATTATTAAAACAATGAAACCTAATCAACATAGAATATTATCTAATCAACAATTTGTTTGTCCAATACAACATGAAAAGCAAATTTCAAATATAATGAAGCCAGTACAAGACTGGCCTTGTCTTCTTTATGTAAATAAATCATTTGCCGATAAAGTTTATATGAATATTAAAAAGAATTCGCATGAAACTTATCCGAATCAAACACATTTATCTTTGATTGATACACCTCAATGTTATGCCAAAGGAATTTTAGATTTCAACAAAAACACTAAAGTAAATTCATTTCTAAAGTTTAATCATATTGATAAACATTGTTTAAAGAAACAATTAAGTCTAATATCAAAAGAATATCCAGATAAAAATGGTTTTAATTACAGTAATAATAACAATAATCAATATCCGGTTCATAATCGTGACGTTTATAACCATGACAATTTGAACAATTCATTGTCATTATCATCATCAACATTTAACAATAGATCGGATACACCACCTCCAGCATATGAAATCTCAATTGGTTTAAATGAAGTAATGAAAAAGTGAAAAAAAGGTATGAATAAGTCAAAAAGTGGAATTTATCTCCATACATTTTCACTGAGACAATCTTTTAATCTCATAAAAAAAGGCAAAATAACTGTTACTACACATGAAGTATACCACTTGTCGACTAGATTTAACATCTAATTAATTGTCTATATAACAATAAATATACCATGCATTTCTAAAAGATGGTTTATTTTTAAAATCAGTCATAAAACTATAAGATTAGTACTGGAATTGTTTTTTACATAAAATGAGAATGATAATGTTGTTGTTTCATCGAACTTATATAAGAAACTATTTGAATGGCTATAAATGATTCTATGATATTTTGACTAATGATGTAAAGAAGACACAAAAAAGACATGAAATCTGGACCACCATTTCGTTTTTTGTTAACAACTGTAATAAACCATTTCTATTGTATACACTGAATTGAATTTTCTTCTATAGTTTGACAGTTTGTGTTTAAAAATATAAGATTTGTTATGATGTGAGAACTTTTAATTTGAACATTAGACCGTTAATGATTTTGCAGCCAAATGATAATTTGTATGATTTATAGTTGTGTACATCAATTGAATGGAATTTTACATTGTTATTGAAGATTGTTAGAAAGAGAATGTTGCTTGTTTATCACTGAGACATACTTTGTTATAAGTATGTATTTTCTGAATTTAAAGACCTTAGTAACTTGAATCTTAATAGGCGTATTTTAAATGGTTGCATGAGAAACTTTTATACTTCTAAAGGCTTTGTATAAGACTGAACGAATTATACGAGTTGATCAGCGGTATAATTTTCTTACCATATTTTTCCATTAAGTTCAGCTTATTTATCAGGAATAAACACGTGTATTGTGCTATGGGCCATATTTCAAGTATAAGGGCGATTATTGATACTACCATTTTAACAAACGACAAAATAAATCAGATATTAAAAAAACAAGCATAACTACAACCCATTACACTTTGTTAAATCTAAGCTGTCATACATATAGTCAAACATACAAACTAGCGAAGTAAAAAACAAAGAGAGGGTGTAAGGAATTAAGAACCTCGGAATTCGAGGAAACACAAAGAATGGTTGCACGTGAGCCATTGCAAACGATTATGAGTCATGTCACTCAAATTCCCTAACTACTGGTCGCTATAATTACGCGGACCCCAACCAGGTAGTCTATACCTACTAACATGGCTAAGTCCAATTGTCAGTGACTTCATTGACTGGTGCCATGTTTTGATTTAACCGCCCTTAGATTTCATCAAGCCTACTCCCACGCCAGGAAAAACATCGCCCGTCGAGGCAGACGGTGGTTGGGTATACGTGACATGTTCAAACCACCTCAGCTACTTCACTCTCTATTATTAATTCAGGTGATGACTCAAGCCGATTGTGAAGTAAGATTTTCCATTTGGAGGGAGAAAACCGCACCCAAAACATACTTGCATTGTTGCTTAAAGTGTTCACAAGAGTTCATTTTGTCAACGTTTCACCAAACAGAACTATATCATCTGTCCCTTAATGTTCTGTCCATCAGTCTAGTTTCAAGGATTGAGAGTGAATAATAATCCCGTCTCTTTCCCCGGTAGTTTTGTAGTGAACAAAACACAACTGGGGACAATCGAATGTATTTAAGCAAACATTACAGACTATCTCAGTAAATTCTGATTACCAAACAATGAACAGTCAATTTGCAAATTAACAACAATTTGTTTCAATCTTCACTGTTTCTTCAATAATTCCATTGTTCATGCATTTTCCTACCGATTGCGCTTCGTTTCAGTTCTTTCGTCATCGGTCTTCTGCGAAAATACATTCTATGCCTGATCCACACCATATACTACTTATATAGATATAAGTAGACAACACCACACTCGTCCCCCCTTTAAAGCATTCGACCATGCGGTGGTTCTGCTCGCTACGCCACTACCTTCTTTCACTGCAGTCTGTGCCAAACTCTCCGTCAGAATGTTAAGTCTGCGGCGCGCTGACCTCCATAGCTTCGTCGACCTGCCGGAACACCAACATCCGCATCCACCCGGCACCTGGGACGTTCAACGCCCGAACTCCACCGGCCTGCTGAGCCATCTACATCCGATGTCCGCACAGCAGCCGCACGTCCCACTGCTCCTCTCCGTCGACAGCACCCGCTACAGCCAACGCCGCCCCGCCAGAACACTCCACTCGACGCCACCTCTCCGCACCAGACTGCCCCAACTAGCACCTCAACTCCAGACCCGCAGCGGCGTCCGCAGAACAGCACCCTTCCTCCTCCTGGTTGGCAGCGACACCAAATGTAGTGAACAGAACACTTGTTGGGGACAATCGAATGTATTTAAGCAAACATTACAGACTATCTCAGTAAATTCTGATTACCAAACAATGAACAGTCAATTTGCAAATTAACAACAATTTGTTTCAATCTTCACTGTTTCTTCAATAATTCCATTGTTCATGCATTTTCCTACCGATTGCGCTTCGTTTCAGTTCTTTCGTCATCGGTCTTCTGCGAAAATACATTCTATGCCTGATCCACACCATATACTACTTATATAGATATAAGTAGACAACACCACAGTTTCACTAACAGCCGAATCCCTAATATCCGTTTCACTGATGAGTCTGATCAGTTGTCTGCGGTTAACTATCACTGATACTTTTTCCATCTCCTCCACTTTCTCTACCCACCACTGCTCACGGTTATTACGGAGGCTTTTTTTATTAGCCCACGTCCAAGTTGCCTCCGCTCCTCATTGTGTTCAGAGCTAGGAGAGATGAGTTTCCGAGCACCTATAAGTTTTGTCCCGACCGTTGCTGCTACCTTGACGTGGTGGTCGGGCTTGCCTATCGTGATGAAGCAATCGAGCTATGCTGGCTGGAACAATCGTTCCTCAAGGTCCTACCATGCCAGACAGGTCGGTTGAAGAGCGGTGAGACTAAAAGCAGCAAACCCAAGGTCCGAAGTCGTACTGTCGACTGTACAGAGGTGTGACGGCAGTAAGGTGTTTCCTTCAGACAACCAGCATGACAGCGATGCTGCCTTCCCACAAGGAGGGGTGGGGTTAGAAAAGGTCGGCCCTAAAAATGCACACCTCGCCTTATCCGACGGATATCCGTCTCCGGCGGTAAGGTTTTTTTTGAAGAACGGAGCTAACACAAAAACTACCCACAAAAAGGTCGTGTGTGACCGACCTCAAGCAGTTGTCCCTTGGGCACTGCGGTCACGCTCTCAGGTCATTAAGACCACTTCTAACCCAATTTCCTTTTCAGGTACCCCCAGGAGAACCCTTCCACGGTGTGGGCAACCGGGAAGTGATAACTGCCCTCATACCTCTAACAGCACTCAAGACCACCGTATTCATAATCAATCTCCTTCAATTCCTACTATTCCTTCTACCTTGACTTTCAACACTAAACTTCCTGTTCTGGTTTCCTCCTCAAGTGTCACCATGGCCAACGATTCTAGTGCGCGAAACGCTGTCCCAGGTCTACTAAAACCTCGCTCCAAACTACACATTGGAGCCTTCAACGTACGTACCCTATGCCAAATCGGTCAACAGGCCTCCTTAGCTAAAACCCTAGAATCTCGTACCATTGATGTATGCGGTGTCTCCGAAACACGCATACAGGATCCCAGTGTGGTCATTCACTTGACCTCACCTCGCCAAAATGGACAGCCAACGAAATACACCCTCCGTGTATCTGGCGACCCGTTGGCTAGTTCTCGCGGACTTGCAGGTGTAGGCATAGCACTAAGTACAAGGGCAGAACAGGCACTATTAGAATGGATCCCCGTTAACAGTCACCTGTGTGCTGTCCAGCTAAATGGCTCCGTAAGAACTCAGAAGGATAGGGACACACGTCGTTGCCTTTTCGTCGTTTCTGCCTACGCTCCCACTGACTGCAGCCATGATGAAGTAAAAGATGACTTTTACAGAGAACTCTCTGAGCTTCTTCAGAAAGCTAAGCGCTCAGACATAGTAGTCGTAGCGGGTGACTTTAATGCCCAGGTAGGCAGCTTAAATCAAACAGAAAGACAGTTAGGTGGGTGTTTTAGTATTCCGGCTCAACGAACCGATAATGGGGATCGTCTGTTGCAACTATGCTCAGACAATCGTTTATTTTTAGCAAGCACTAATTTTAAACATAAGGAGAGACATCGTCTAACATGGCGACCACCTGCACCAAACCAACGATGGACTCAAATAGACCATATTGTCATCAGTCATCGTTGGAGAGGCTCAATAGAAGATTGTCGCTCGTATTGGAATACTTGTTTAGACTCTGATCACGCTTTAATACGAGCGCGCATTTGTCTGCGCCTCAATGGACGCAGGAAAAGTACACTAAGAAGACCCATTAGGATTGAACTGGAGGACGAGAAAGCCAAATGCGAATTCCAGAAACAACTGAGTTCACATCTAGGCAGTTCTGTAAACAAGACTGACACAGATGCTGCTTGGAAAGACATACGAACAGCTGTGGAAACAGCAGTTACATCTATTAGTCATTTAAACCATAGGGCTCCAAAAAACCAATGGATTTCTTCTAAGTCTATTTCACTGATGGATTCGCGTAAACTCATCCCATCAGGCTCTGAACATGACGAAGAGCGTAAAGAAATTAGATCTAGGTTAACTAAAAGTCTAAGGAACGATCGTGAGCAGTGGTGGGCAACGAAAGCAAAAGAGATGGAAAAGGCAGCGGCTGTAGGGAACACCAGGCAACTATTCAGACTAATAAAAGAAACCGGAATTAAGAAGTCAAGTGTAGGTGAGACAATCTCCGAAAAAGACGGAACCTTTATCTGCTCTCAACTCAAACGTTTAGAACGATGGGCGGAACACTTTAAGGAGCAGTTTAGCTGGCCTTCAGCTACTGCACAACTACCCACTATCCCTAGAAAACCTGAATGGAACATTGAAGTAGGCCCCCCGACCCTACTTGAAGTTCAAAAGGCTATAGGTAATCTGAAACGAGGAAGAGCAGCTGGTCCAGATGGATTGGCTCCAGAAGTCTTTAAATATGGTGGTCCGATTTTAGCGATTAGGTTGACTAATATTCTGGCTAAAATCTGGGAAACGGATGTAATCCCATCCGACTGGTCGCAATCACTGATTGTCCCAATATATAAAAAGGGGTCAAAATCATCCTGCGCTAACCATAGAGGGATTAGTCTGACCAACATAGCATCTAAAATACTAGCCTCAATAATTATCGGGCGCCTAACTAAGACTCGTGAACTGCAAACACGAGAAAATCAGGCTGGCTTCAGACCTGGTCGTGGCTGTGTCGACCACATATTCACCATTCGTCAAGTTTTAGAGCACAGACACGCTTATCGGCGTCCCACAATGATAGTTTTTCTTGACTTAAAAGCAGCATTTGACTCTGTAGACCGAGAGGTTCTGTGGCAGTGTCTGTCATTGAAAGGTGTACCTGAGAAGTACATAAACCTTGTGAAGGCTCTTTACTCGAACACTACCAGTCGAGTGAGAACTTATGGCGAACTGTCATATGATTTTACAACCTCAAGTGGTGTCCGTCAAGGCTGTCCACTATCCCCATTTTCGTTTAAATTCATTATAGACCTGTTGCTGGAAATAACGTTCTCGTCGACTGAATCTACAGGAATTGATCTCCTACCAGGGGGACCACTAAGCGACTTAGAATACGCAGATGACAGTCCTGTTTGGTGAAGACGCTGGCAAAATGCAGAGTCTTCTGTTGGAACTCAGTAATAATGCCAGGATGTTTGGGATGCGATTCTCCCCATCCAAATGTAAATTGTTACTCCAGGACTGGCTTGCATCAACACCTGAACTAAGGATAGGGAGCGAAGTAGTCGAACGCGTGGACAACTTCACTTATCTTGGAAGTCTGATCAGCCCTAATGGGTTGGTGTCTGACGAAATCTCAACACGGATTCGAAAAGCTCGTTTGGCTTTTGCCAACTTACGTCACCTATGGCGAAGACGAGATATCCGTCTATCAATTAAATGACGAGTATACTGCGCAGCAGTTCGCTCTGTTCTACTTTACGGTTGTGAAACATGGCCATTAAGAGTAGAAGATACTCGTAGGTTACTAGTATTTGACCACAGATGCCTTAGAAATATTGCACGCATCTGCTGGGATCACCGGGTAAGTAATAGTGAGGTTAGACGCAGGGTATTAGGGAACGATGGTAAATCAGTTGATGAGGTCATGAATCTTCATCGACTGAGATGGTTGGGCCATGTGTTACGTATGCCTGAACACCGATTACCACGACGCGCTATGATGACTAGTGTAGGGGATTGTTGGAAGAGAGTTAGGGGCGGCCAAACCAAAACATGGCATCAGTGTTTGAAGTCACTAACTTCTAGTCTGAGCCATGTTGGCAGATGCAGACTACCTGGTTGGGGTCCGCGTGATTATCGTAACCAATGGTTGGAGACTCTAGGTGACATGGCTCAGAATCGATCACAATGGCGTAGGTGTATACACTCTTTATCTTCCCTTAATCCTTGAGATTAAAATTGCTTCATAACGTTCTTCCTTCCTATACTTTATCCTTATATACAACCTATAATTTATATACTACTACCACCACTAAATTAATTACTTCTATGAACCTGGTGTTCATCTTGTTGTGCTAACGAGGTATGGCAACTTGGACCGATGCATAAATGTGCCTGGTCCTACGTTGTAGCTGACTGACTATAAGTTTTGTAGACGCCGCTGAAATTCAATGATTTTTTCCTAGCCTTTTGGTCCAAGTTAATAGTAGTTATCACTGCTGTTCTCATAACCTTTTGGATATCATATCAAGCTACCATAGGATGGATATCACTTTTACAGTTGACTAACTCCTCCAGTTGTTCCTGAAATATATTTCTTTTTCATTATTAAGTTGAACTCTAAGGGGTTTCCTTGGTGCTTTTTTAGAACCTGTAAAGTGCAAACAATTATGTGCTCGAAATAGAGCATGGTCAGAGTCAAAACAACTGATCCAGAATGAGAGATTATCTTCTATCGAGCTCGTCGAACGATGACTAAAGGCAATGTTATCTATTAGATAAAAATAAACTTCAAAAGTTTACATGTCAATTTATGTGTTTATCAGATATAAAGTAGAAAGTTTTAAGATTTTCCATCAAAAGTATTTTTATTTTTCACGTACAAACTAAATTGCTTATTTATTCACAGTATATATACAGGAGGCAACAAAATAATGAGTTAAACGCGATTTATAAACCTGTTGTTAATCTAAATACAGTGATTAATATCAGAAACTATTATTTTGAAGTATCTTCATGTTAAACTCATTTACATACAATAAACATTACACCTAGTTACAGTGAAATAAACAAACGAGAAAATAAGTAAAACCGTATTTCTGCTTTAATGAACGTCCTGTAACCGACAAATAAGTTCATTTGAATGAATTATTATTTACAAAGATAGAAATTTCACTACACGTTGCAATAATCATGTTTGTGCATATTCCATGAGTAAACGACGACCTAATAAATGCGTAGATACGCCCAATGTCTCCAATGCAATCTAAATAATGCAACAAACAAACAAACAACATCGTACCATAATAAAATCTAGTTGATTGATAATGTTCCAAATTAATAAGTTAATCATTGATGAATACTTTACTTTTACTGCACTCTTACTACAAGACCTAATGGAGAACATGAGTTTGGCCTTTCGCTGGGTCGTATGTGCGCACTATCAAGTTTCATGATAAAACGAAACAGTTGCTACCTCGTTGCTAATGATTTTCTTGTTGAAGTTAGTTCTGTTATAAATTCAACTTTAATATAGGTATTTAATAAGATTAATAAATGAATGTGTTCACTAGTGATAAGTCCGCTTTACGCTAACTATACTGGTGACCCTAGCTTTATTAGCATGGTGATTAAGCATAGTTGCACTGATGAACACAAACAGCTTTCTACTCCCCAGCGTGTTCAATCAGAACACAATCAAAGTCAGCTGATTTACACATTATTATGACTCAAAAAACTCCCATCATACGATAAATTAATTACAACGCACTTAAAATAAGTAGTCGCAACTTGTACATAACTCAGTCTGTCAGTCAGTCACAACGTAGAACTTCGTACGTACGTACATCAGTTCGAGTTGCCATACCACACTAGCACAGAGATGCAGTTGTCGATTCAAACCAAATAGTGGTAGAAGTAGTAGGAGTATAATCAGAAATCCAAAAGATTAGGGTTTGAAGAAATTATTGAAGGAGTATAGTACAGTGAAATAAATTTGGAAAGAGAAAAAGATAAAGACATGAGGAATTCAGAAGATTAGAATTCGGGAGAACACAAAGAGTGTATACACCTGCGTCATTGCTAACGATTTTGAGCCATGTCATTCAAGGTCTCAAACCATCGATTGCTATCATCTCGCGAATCCCAACCAGGTAGTCTACACCTACCAACATGGCTCAGTCTACTTGTCAGTGACTTCATGGATTTATGCCACGTTTTGGTTTGACCGCCTCTAACTTTCTTCCAACCTACTCCTACACCATAAAGCATTGCACGTCGGGGCAGTCGGTGGTTGGGCATACGTAACACATGTCCCAGCCATCTCAACTGATGAAGTTTCACTACTTCATCAATCGATTTGCCATCCCTACCTAGTACTCGTTTCCTAACAACTGCATTACTTACCCGGTGGTCCCAGGATATACGAGCAATGCTTCGAAGACACCTATGATCGAACACTAGTAGCCTACGAATATCCTCTACTCTGACCGGCCATGTTTCACAGGCACAAAGTAGGACGGAAGTAGGTGCTGTACAGTAAACCCATCCTTTGGTTGATAGATGGATATCTCGCCTACGCCATAAATGACGCAAGTTGGCGAAAGCTAGACGAGCCTTCTGTATCCGTGCTGAGATTTCGTCACATACCAGACCACAAGGGCTGATGAGACTCCCAAGATAAGTGAAGTGGTCTACACGCTCAACTACTTCACTCCCTATCATTAGTTCAGGTGTCGCTGCAACCCAATCCTGAAGTGACATTTTGCACTTCGAGGGAGAGAATCGCATCCCGAACATCCCTGCATAGTTGCTTATAGTGGTCAGAAGACTCTGCATGTTGTCAGCGTCTTCACCGAGTAAAACTATGTCGTCGGCGTATTCTAAGTCAACAAGTGAATCTCCCGGTAAAAGTTCAACTCCTGGAGGTTTAGCTGATGAAAGTGCTATCTCTAAAAATATGTCAATGACAAAGTACATAACTAGGTCATTTGTGATACAAAGAGAGTAAGAGGGATAATTTATCAGCTGTTTATGAATGGTAAAACACATTAACACTGCCCCCTGATGTCCTGGTACCGCCCAGAGTGGGAGAGTTAGCTCTCCCTCTCAAAATGCTCTCACATGGTCACATGTATACAGACACTGTCAGGGAAGTCTTACTCACTGCCTTCTCGTGAAGAGGGTGTTCTTTATGAAATTGAGAGGACGAAAAGCGAATGTCCGGCGCTCAAATCGGGTTGGTGGATATGGAGAATCTATCAAAGGGAGTTGGAAAACCCTGATTCCAAACCAATAGTGCAGGACCCTGAGGGGACAAATGGCGTATGAACCTATTGTTGATCACCGGCCATCATGGGACTGCATCGCCTGACGTTGCTCCACTACCTTGTGTATTAGACCTTCAGGTCAAAGGCTCGGGGTGTGGCCCCATAAGAAAACCACCTGCTTCGGTCTGGGGGCCCGGCAAGCATTCCAGTCCTGACAGAAATCGAATGACGACGTGTGGCGCATATATTAGGTGCCTCCTTTTATTAATGTTTTTGTTTAAATTAAATAAATAACAATCAGTTAACTGAGAGCCTACAATTAGGGCAATATAAAAATAACATAAACCAAATATCTATTAAGTATGCAATCGGCATACATACGATAATATATCATAGAATAACCCTTGTAGTCCTTTTTCCACTTATACGTTCGTACCCAACAATTTCGTGGTTTAAACCATCTTGGAACTTCATGGTGGTAATATCAGTTCTTAGAAAGACAGAGCCTTGACTATTGCATCTCTAATTAGGCTTGAGTCAAAAACTACTAATTAGTCTCTTCTGATAATTAATGCTACTGAGCAAAAGGAGAAAATGCTAGATTTCTGTTTCGCTTCTATATAAATTCTAGCGTTTTAATACAGCATCTTTATTGTTTGGGATTATTAGAGCAAACATTGTTCGCCCTCAGTTCCCGTTCTGAATTGGAACGAATCCAGTGAAGTATGATGCCCAAGGAATACTAGGTACTAGAAGAAAATCACACAGTTGGAGTAAAATTTGGAATCGAGGTATTCTAAAAAACTCCCACACATTAGCTAGAGATACACGCATAGCGTTGCTACTACTTAGAATTTATTTAACTAAGATTAAGCTGGTTGAAGTTAAACATATGAACTATTGCATCTTGGCTCAGTAGTCTAGAGGTTAAAAATTCCCGTGCGAGACTGAAGGTCCTAGGTTCTATTCCCAATAGGATTGGTGGATGAGCGCTGTTAAGTAGTCCCATCTTAGGACAAAAAAACTGTTCACTACTTCTTGGCTTCCAATGTATATCTAACTAAGATTAGTTCATGATATCCAGAGAAGTTAGCAACCACCACCTCAGAATTACTAACTTTTGCTTTGTCCAATGTGTCGAATTCAACGAATGCAAATCCACGATGTCCGCTAGTTGGTTTTTTTGGCAATCGAACATTGACAAGACCACCAATAGGTTGAAATAATTCAATCAATTCTTTTTGTGTAGCTTGGAATGGAATGTTACGTACAATTAAAATTTTGTTCTTTTTTAACTGTTTTGATGATATTGGTTTTTTAATATCAATTTCATCTTTGTGTTGTTTATTAATATTAGTAGTAGTAGTAGTAGTATCACATTGATTTATTACATTTCCATTATTTGAGTGTAGTTGATTGGTACATTCAACTTTAACATCGTTAGTGAATTTATCTTTTTTGCTTTTATGTCCCATAATTTTGTCGGCTATTTCCAATTCACTTGATTTACTGTTAGCCATTTGTTCAATCTTTTGTTTTTTATTTAAATATTTTTTAACTCGTTGAGATTTTGATATTTGACATGAATTGTTTTCATTGTCATGATGAGATGAGTGATCCGTAACTGCTACTGCCTCATCATCATCATCATCATCATCATCATCATCTCTGAACTTGCGTTTACCAGTTGGAATGAATGTGATCAGTTCAAATTTATCGTCAGATTGCCTAGGATGAGGAAATGAAATGGAAACCTTAATCAACATTATGATGTCGATTAGTGAAAATAAACAAATGATAAAAATGTAGTTTAAACCACAAACTGATCGTAGCTAGACAACCACTGAAAACCAGAAAGCACTGGACAGGTGTTTTGTCGTAGTACGGAACTCCTCAGCACAATGCATTAGGGACCTCTCTGGATTTCTAGTAAGACGCTTTGACTATTGGAGTTCAACCATGTCCAAAGTGAAGCAATTACTATGTAAAAGTGTTGGAAAATGGATATGCAATGTAGCGAATTGACTAAGGTCAAAACGTAAGCCACTGGATGCCAACTTTGTAGTCTTAAGGTTATGCGCTCGCTGCGAGACCTGAAGGTGTTGAGTTCGATTCCCAGTGAGTGGCAGACATGTACTATTGAGGCGCATACTAGGACGAAAAAGATAGTCAGTGCTTTCTAGTTTTCGACAGTTTTCTAGTGTCACTTCGTGATATAACCTGTAAAATTCAACCATCTCCAAAAACCCCTTACATAATTGATACGAATTTAAATACGAAGCTTTGTATACTCGGATTTGGAACAAGCTTTAGTCTTACAAGGGTTGGTACTACTACTATCAGACTGACTTAACTTATTTAGGTGACGGGAGAATTGAACCTGCTATTTAATGTTTGGTAGTATAACACCTTGACCTATCCTTGAAAATAAATTTGAGTTCAGAAATCCATTTATATATCTTATATACGCAGCGAGTCAATCAATAAAAAACAACTCACTCAATTTTTTCAACCTCATTAACAGATGATTTTTCGTGTTTCACCTTTTTCGGCTTATGTATAGAAGCGTCTTCAGATTTTATTTCCTCGTATTCGTTATCATCAGGAGTGGATGATTTCAAAGCCCCATCCGGTAACCACTGTAGAAACAGAACACTGTCTCTAAACTAAAGAGAGGAATATAAAATGAGATTTACGTGGAATTATCTAGAAGTTCTACAACTTCTGTCAGAAAACTGGAAATGATCTAACTGATAGAAAAAAATAATTGTATAAACTTAAATATATTATTCCCAAATGATGAGCGATCATTACGTTTACTTATAATTCTTCAGTAGTCGGTATGAGTGGACAGAAAAAAAATGACCTACTGAATATAATCAACAAAGCTGTCGCTTCAGAAGGGTTTTTGTAAGCGTCATGAACTATCAAGCATTGAATCAATGTTTTCCTACTTCGATATTCAGATCAGGACCTTTATCAAAAATTCTACTATATGAAGGAGAATAGGTTTAGTAATCATCTTCCAATCAATAATTTGTCGTACATTCAGACTCCAATTTCATTTAATTCGCTTTAAACTGCTTAGTAGTATCGATAGTCATTGCATAAATAGTGTGTTTAACATCTGAGTATACTAATAGACTAGGTAAATCTAGGTATATCATGTGCCTGAGCTTATATGCCATCTCAAAGTCAAACAGTAGTCAGGAAATTATAAATGAGATACACTATGATAGGAAGTTGATTAAACTCCCAGTCAACATCATGATCTGTGTTATTTCCTTGGTAAGGACAAATGTATATAAATCAATGATTTATGTACCTATTCATTCGATTTTTTCAGCTATAAACTAATAGCTATTCCTCAGTCTTCTCACTTCTATCGCTGGGTGGACAAGCGTGAAGAAAGAGTTTGTATCTGAATCAGACTTAACACATCATAACACACCTAAACCTTTACTTTATAAATGAGTTACTTGTATAAAACAGAGGAATTTATCAACCTGGATTATTCTAACTAATAACTTTCACACTTTACAACAATACTGATTGGCCACCCAGTTACTTAAAAAACTCAACTACATTAGTTAATGCAAAGAGATTCAGGAAACAACTATCAGGTATCGTGGTGCAAAGTTTGATAGTCTAGCAAGTTTGTAATTAAATGGTTAATTTTATAACGGGCTAGCCACTATCCATCTTTGCTTGTAATATAAAAGATCCTGTTTAAATTACGATAGCTTTGGAACCGAAAAGGCTGTGACAGTGAATCGTATATCAAATGAAAGCCTATGGTTTTTAGAAATAAAATAGGGACAAATATAAATGTTACTGCTTTACAAGCTTTGAATTAAACAAAATGACGTCCCCAAAAATAGCTTCCGTAGTTTGTTAATGCTTCTTGTTTCTCTGTTCACATGTCAGATTGACTTGTGAAGAGGACCATGACCGTATATTGCATTTCCTCTACTGTTTTTTAAGCAGAAGAGATGGAAGTGTCACAAGAAATGTGTATGGAAAATGTGCATTTGTATGTCACTACACACATTTACCTAACTTCGTATCCTCATTACAAGAGAAATATATTTTGATTATTTGTACTCATAGCTGGAAAGATAGTTTCAGACGATATCATGAACAAATAACCAGAGTTTATACACAGTAAGTTGAACACAGTTAGCTACCTACAGGGTTCTCAGAAAAAGCATGTGTCTATGGTGAGAAGTGAACTGTTAGTGAAAAATGTCTTCGATTGAAGCTACTATTCAACAGAGGTGTAACTAACGATGTCCTGCACTATTAGTCAGTCGTACACGACGTCGAACTAAACAAGATCGAATAACTACAGAGGTGAAAAAGATTTTCAACGCATCTAGTACTTGTATATTGTGTGAGTCAACCAGTTGTGACCCCTTAACTGGAGGAAAAGTTATTGAATATTTCCACATCTATGCGTATTTACAAATTCAGCTGCTCCTGTAGAGAAGATTATACCAACACATTGAGTCAGAAGACTTAATTAACATGTTAGTGAATGTCTTCTTTAGCTTCATCGAAAGTGTCTGACAAAATCGATAGATAACTATTTTGTCACATTTTGTAGATAGTTTTTATATAGTAAATAGAATCAAACATTCAAAATGACTTGTGGAATTTCTCATCTTCCGAACGGAGTTTGTTTTCATACCTTCTATGTCGTGAAGACTCCGCCTATAGCCCTTCTGGGGTGACTGCCGATCCCAAGCCCAGATAGAGGAAGAGGGTTAGGAATAGGGTCAGCAACCCCATCCTGTAGAAAACAACCTTGCTAAAAAAACGTTAAACAGAATAAACAAATGAAACAATTTAAATTCTGCACTCCAAGTTAAACGATCTTCTTTCGGAAGAATCATGACGCCTCATGGTAAAATTAGAGATTCTTTGAAAGCCACTAGGATGATGCCTCTTCTGATAACCAGAGCAACAATTAATATGTATACAGAGAATGTCTGGAAAATTTAGGAGACCGAGAAAACCAACCAAATAGCTGTGGAAATGAGGAAATACATTCAACTAAATGGTTATAGGTGGCACAATATTCCTCCCACAAACCCATACACAAAACTACGTGGATCTCACCGGACCACACTACATAAAACCAGATCGATCGTATTTGCTTCACTAAAATTTTCACAAGGTCGATGGAACATGTAAGAACCAAGAGAGGAGCTGACATAGCTTCAAATCCCCATCCAGTTATGGCTAGGATGAAACTGAAGCTAAAGCGGCACTGAACAGATGAAGAAACAGCATTACCAAAATTCAATACAGACTTCCTTCGACATAGTGACACACTCAACGAACTCAAGATAACTCTCAACAACAGGTTCCAAGCATTACAGGATGCCAGTCAGACATACAAGTAACTGCAAATATGCCCAACATCCTATCCAGTAAGATTTGGGAGGAGGAACTAGTCACGACGTACTGGAAGGAAGGATACCTTGTCAAGATACCAAAGAAAGGAGATCTCGGCAAGTTGAAGAACTACAGAGGAAACAACTAGAAAGGATTGTCAAGAAAAGAGTTAGATGGAGAATCCTAGTGGGTGGCCTATGCTCCTCCAAGAGAGGTAATGGAAGTGAATTAAAATATAACATACCGGTTCATATGCAAGTGCTTTGTACATCAACCGAGCCTGTTGAGAATGGGCATATTCTACAATAGCAGTAATGCCTAGAGGGGGTACCAGAACACGTTTTAATCCAGAACGAATTGACGGAGTGTTAACGTCAACAGTTACAGAGCTTTTTGTATACCGTTCAAGCAAATTTCGAACTTCAAACTCAGTTGTTCCAGCTGGTAGATTTTTTATTAAAAATGCAGTTCCTGATAATTGGCGAATAGTTGATCTTGACTTTGATTCTAAACGATTACGTTGGCCTGATGTTTCATGAACAACGACGGAATTATCATCTTTCTCTTTTATCTCAGTCTCATCATTGTGCTTTTCAAAAGCTTCCAATCGTACACCATGAGTTTTAAAAAATTCTTTCATTTCAGCAACTAACTGAGTCTCACCATGAGCCAATCGTACAGCAACTGACTTATTACCTGATGGATCTAAAACTTGTTCCTTAAAAGAACAATAGATAACAAATTCAGATCAGGGTTTGGTGTATAATGACAAGTGTAATCTTTTGTGGAATTAATGTACACAGAAGTAGGATTACAATTTCAAAGTGTGAATATAACGAAAATTGCATCCCTTAAAAAGTATTAAAAAGCCATGCAAAGTTATTGGATGCTCGGGGATAACCAGCACAGAACGTTGAACTTGCGTTTTGTGTTGGCTGGAACTCTTCAGTAAGGCGTTCTTGGTATACTGAATGAACTCATATTCCATGTGGTGTTCGAATCAGGATCACCAAAGTCTTCAGTTTGAAACGTTACGACTGAGTTATTAGCACCTCCGTTTACCTCCAATGAGACTGAGATATCTACAGTTGATTGATCGCTGAGTAGTGACCAATGTTACCTTTGTCTAGTCCTTAAGTGTTGATCGAATTGAAGTCGTAATGTGACCACCAGTTTAAGTGGCTTAACATATGCTACACTGTAGAAAATGACTTATTAACTAATCTATTTTCAACAGAAGTATATGGCCGACCTTGAGCGATTTTTTGGCCAGTCAGATAGGGAATTTTTATTTATGAAAGAATTTACAACAAAAAATGATGAAATTACAAGAGACCAGGAGTAGTGAACTTTTTCATGTGAATAACCACTTACAGTAAAAGAAGAAAGGTTAGGGTTTTCATACTAAACTGACGGCTAGGATGGAGGGGTTAGGGTTACAAGTTTAGCTACGAAATATTCTTGCTTTATAACCACGTAGATTAACAGAATCTGCACAAATATGCACGATGCAAAATCATAAATTTTAATGGTTTTTCTTATAAAGTAGTATCACAGCGAAAATGTTTAGTTTACTTTGAAAATTCCAAAAATCCTGTATGTTGTGTATTTTAGGTATATTTGTTTGCATTGTTTCTTTCCTGAAAAACCAGTAAATCTTTCTCTACGGTTCTACAAATCGAGTAGATCAGTTTTTAGTCTTTATTATTGTTATGTTTATCAGTTTTCAGCAACTAAGTAGCAAGACATTCGTACATTGTGTTGACTTGTTACATAGCTCTTTACAACCTGAAAGTTGTTTGTAATTGAATTTTGAAATACGCCATAAGATGCAATAATCGCTATTCATAATCTGCTAGGATCATTTATACACTTTACTTTTCTTGTATTTCCTAAAGGACTTTACAATCAGTTTACTTATTGCCTTCTTTAATTCTGTAATAACTTTTACAATCAGTGTACAACAATAAAATAATTCAGTATATTAGTTAAATTTGTTAATTATGGCTTTATAAATTATCTTCATACACTCAAACTGCTGATTAATTAATGTCAGGCGCTACTCCGTATAACTTATTCGAGATGTGAAAAATCGCACGGAAATTGGCGTATAAATAGTTCTTGATCGATTTTTGGTGTCAAATAAATCCTCAGTTATCTCTACTTTTGTATTCAGCATTATCAATTCTCTGTTGAGTAAATAACAATACGATGAATAAGTGATTTGTTAGGAAGTACTGAAAACTTTAGGCGTATAGGGGTAAATTCAAACTAGCATTCACTAATAAATGTTTCTATCGAATTGGAAAGATTTATACTGAATTTACTGATTGAAAATGGTACTTCGTATACTGATAATCGCCGTAAAGCTCAGATATTATTAGAAAGCTATTACGCATCAAAATAAATCTTTTACCATGGTCAAACCGAATTTTGCAGCTAAATATGTAGCAACAGCATCTGGACGAATAAATAAAGCATTCCAATTATGTCCAACGCCTGAATCCTTTTTCAGTTCTTGAAATCGATCGTTTTGAAAGCTTGATAAAAGTATCTTTGACGGATCACCAGAATTCTCATTCCTATAAACATTGTTTAGAGGCTTTCTAAATGAGTCCTTAGGATCTATGTTTTCTTGACCAGGGAGTATGTGAATTAGCCTATCCTAGACGTAAAAATATAAATATAATTTAAATCACAGTTAATAATACACCTTGAGACTGATAAACATTGAATAGTGAGATACGTACAACGTAATTTTAGAATAACTAGTCAGTTAACAATCACATGTTTATCATGATGAAAACTTGTTAAATAATAATCCTACAAATACACCAGGTAAAAATGAAGTGCAAAAATTAGCGGTCATTAAATGGTTGAAGTAAATTTATATTATAGGTCACAAGCTTAATTCAATATCAGAAGTCTGGTTCTCAAACCACATGAGAAAGTTAAGCATACTAAAGTATTATGGTTTCGTACGATTTACGCTGAAGAATGACCTCTTATAAATTCTTTAAGTTCTTTCAACACAAGAAGATGAAAATTTTAGTAAATTAATTTTAATAAATTAATCTGCCAATATATCTAGGTGCTTCCTAGAACCGTGTGATTAGGAAGTTATATAAACATTGGATGCTCCTACTATTAATTAGATCTGTTGGATAACCTAGACGATATTGATTGCACCTGGCCTTAGTGAACAGAACACCGTTCGGGGATAATCGAATGTATTTAAGCAAAAATTACAGACTATCTCACTAAATTCTGATAACCATACAATGAACAGTTAATTTACAAAATAACAAGCAATTGTCTCAATCTTCACTGTTCCTTCTGTAAATATCAGTTAATCTTCTCTAATTGCATTGTTCATGCGTTTTCCTACCTATTGCGCTTCATTTCAGTTCTCTCGTTATCGATCTCCTGCCAAAATATATTCTATGTCTGCACATTGCCATATACTACTTATATTGATATAAGTAGACCACACTACAATATCTCTTCTATATTTGACTGATTTCTTTATGAGCATTACATTCTTAATTAATTTATTGTGACATCCTGCAAGATTCAAAATTAGCTTGAAATACATCGTATGCCACACTACATTTTTAATGTTCACTGGAACGTACATTCAGTGTAGTTGAGTCAGAATATTTAACAATTTTCGATTGAGGAATCCACTATAATAGTCGATCTTGGTAGCTAAAGGACAAGTGGTCGTAGCAAATTCAGAAAACAGCAATACCTACAATAACTACTTGAGAAACTGAACTGAAAATGACATCAACAAATCGACTTCCGAAAACCTTTATGCTTGTAAATGTGGATGTAGGGTTTTAAAAATACATGTCATATGATCCGCATGCTACGGGAATCTTAAGACATACCAAATAACACTGTTAGGGTTTGAATTGACTTGGACATATGTTACGTATACCCAACCACATCCTACTTCGACTCGGAATGTTGGATGGATTAGTCTGGAAGGACGTTAGCGAGGACCAGACCAATACGTAATATCAGTTCACGAGAGCAAGAACTGTTAAATAATGCAGACGCAATCAGTAATTGGGAAAGCCAGGTGATATGGTTTACAACCGATCGCATTGGTGCAGAATTGTTCACTTTTTATTTTCCCCTTATATTTTAAGAGGAATATTCTTTTACGCAAGTCTCCTTTTTGAACATTCCCAATGTTTAGTTTTACTGCCAATTACTGATATTAATTTCACTCCGAGTCCTATGCTACTTATTTTGATAACTTCACCTCACGCCAATGTAGTATGGCAACTTTAGGTAACGCATACCCGTGGTCCCGACCGTTGCTGCTACCTCCCGACCGTTGCTGCTACCTTGACGTGGTGGTCGGGCTTGCCTATCGTGATGATCCAATCGAGCTATGCTGGCTGGAACAATCGTTCCTCAAGGTCCTACCATGCCAGACAGGTCGATTGAAGAGCGGTGAGACTAAAAGCAGCAATCCCAAGGTCCGAAGGCGAAGTCGTACTGCTGACTGTACAGAGGTGTGAAAGCAGTAAGGTGTTTCCTTCAGACAACCAGCATGACAGCGATGCTGCCTTCCCACAAGGAGGGGTGGGGTTAGAAAAGGTCGACCCTAAAAATGCACACCTCGCCTTATCCCACGGATTTCCGTCTCCGGCGGTAAGGACTTTTGAAGAGCGGAGCTAACACGTCAAAAATCCCCCACAAAAAGGCCGTGCGTGACCGGCCTCAAGCAGATGTCCCTTGGGCACTGCGGTCACGCACCCAGGTCGTTAAGACCAACACTAATCCAACTTCTTTTTCAGGTCCCTCAAGAAATACCCTTCCACGGTGTGGGCAGCCGGGAAGTGATACTAGCCCTCATACCCTTAGCTGCACACAAGACCAAGTTGGTCGCTTTCAAATCCTTCCTACACCTCCTAATAACTCTGTTATCTCCACGACTAACCCTTCCCACGTCCTTTTATCACCTCGCACCGCTAGGGCAAACGATTCGAGTACACAGAACGTTATTTCTGGTCTCCTGAAACCACGCTCTAAACTACATATAGGAACTTTTAATGTCCGAACATTGTGCCAAATAGGACAACAGGCCTCCTTAGCTAGGACTCTAGAATCTTACACCATCGATGTGTGCTGCGTCTCCGAAACGCGCATACAAGATCCGAGTAGTGTCATTCATTTGACCTCACCTAATCAAAATAAAGTTTCATCTCGATACACGCTTCGTGTATCTGGAAGCCCTGACGCTGCTTCCCGTGGCCTCGCTGGAGTAGGTATAGCATTAAGTCCTAGGGCAGAACTAGCTCTTTTAGACTGGATCCCAGTAGACAGTCGTCTATGCGCTGTCCGACTAAACGGATCAGTAAGGACCCGGAAAGATAGGGAAACTCGTCGTTGCCTCTTCGTCGTCTCTGCCTACTCTCCCACTGACTGCAGCTCAGACGATATAAAAGATGAGTTCTACAGGAAACTTTCTGACCTTCTCCGAGAAGCTAGGCGTTCTGATGTTGTAATAGTAGCAGGTGACTTTAATGCTCAAGTAGGTAAACTAAGTGAAAGGGAAAGACACCTGGGTGGATCTTATGGTGTCATGGCGAAAAGAACAGATAATGGCGACCGTCTGTTGCAGCTGTGCTCAGATAACCGCCTATTTCTTGCAAATACTAACTTTAAGCTTAAGGAAAAACATCTTTTGACATGGCGACCCCCGAATTCGTCCCAACGTTGGACCCAATTAGATCACATCGCTATCAGCCACCGATGGAGGGGCTCGATTGAAGACTGTCGCTCATTCTGGGGCACATGTTTAGATTCAGATCATGCTCTAGTGCGAGCACGTATCTGTCTGCGTCTAACTGGTCGTAGGAAAGACACTGCAGGGAAGCCTCTAAGGGTTCTACTTAATGATAGGCAAGCTAAGAATATATATCAGGAACAACTAGAAAAACAGTTAGGCAGCCATGTAAGTTGTGTCCACCCCGAGGCAGCGTGGAATGACATCCGAAAAGCTGTGGAAACAGCAGTGATGTCCGCTAGTAAGGTAAACCATAACGTTAGGGAGAAACAATGGATCTCGGCAGCATCTTCCGCACTGATAGATGCTCGTAAACTCATCCCACCTGGCTCTGAGCATAACGAAGAGCGGAGTCAACTTAAGCGCAGGCTTATAAGAAGCCTACGTAATGATCGTGAACAGTGGTGGGTAGGGAAAGCAAGAGAGATGGAAAAGGCAGCGGCAATAGGTAACAGTAGGCAGCTATTCAGACTCGTTAAAGAAACCGGCATTAGGAACCCGAATATCAGTGAAACCATCTCAGATAGAGATGGGCATATTATTCATTCTCAATCCAGGAGATTGGATCGATGGGCAGAACACTTTAGGGATCAGTTCAACTGGCCTTCAGCCACGCTTCAATTACCCACGATCCCCAGTCGTCCTGAATGGCAAATTGACGTAAGTCCTCCAACCCTCTGTGAGGTTGAAAAAGCTATAGGAAATCTGAAGCGAGGGAGAGCAGCAGGCCCTGACAGGTTGACCCCTGAGATTTTTAAGGATGGTGGTCCAGTACTAGCAGTGAGATTGACTGAGGTCTTAGGTAGAATCTGGGAACTGGACGTAATTCCATCTGACTGGTCCCAATCACTGATTGTGCCAGTCTATAAGAAAGGACAAAAGTCCTCCTGTGACAATCACAGAGGGATCAGTTTGACTAATATAGTGTCTAAAATATTAGCTTCAATAATACTAGGTCGCCTAACCAAAGCTCGTGAAGAGCAGACTAGAGAAAACCAGGCTGGTTTTCGACCTGGACGTGGTTGCATAGACCAGATATTCACCCTACGTCAGGTTCTAGAACATAGACACAAATTCAGACGTCCCACAATAGTAGTATTTCTTGACCTTAAGGCGGCATTTGACTCTGTTGATCGTGAGGTTCTATGGCAATGTTTGTCACTGAAAGGAGTACCAAAGAAGTACATTAACCTCATAAAGGCTCTCTACTCGAACACAACTGGTCGAGTTAGAGCCTATGGCGAACTGTCATCAGAACTGATTACCACAAGTGGAGTTCGTCAGGGCTGTCCACTCTCCCCATTCTTGTTTAACTTTGTCATTGACATACTTTTAGAGACAGCACTTTCATCAGCTAAGCCTCCAGGAGTTGAACTCTTACCGGGAGGCTCACTTGTTGACTTAGAATACGCCGACGACATAGTTTTACTCGGTGAAGACGCTGACAAAATGCAGAGTCTTCTGACCACCATAAGCAACAATGCAGGCATGTTCGGGATGCGATTCTCTCCCTCGAAGTGCAAAATGTTACTTCAGGATTGGGTTGCAGCGACACCTGAACTAATGATAGGGAGTGAAGTAGTTGAGCGTGTAGACCACTTCACTTATCTTGGGAGTCTCATCAGCCCTTGTGGTCTGGTGTTTGACGAAATCTCAGCACGGATACAGAAGGCTCGTCTAGCTTTTGCCAACTTGCATCATTTGTGGCGTAGGCGAGATATCCGTCTAGCAACCAAAGGACGGGTTTACTGTGCAGCAGTTCGTTCCGTCCTACTTTATGGAAGTGAAACATGGCCGGTAAGAGTAGAGGATATTCGTAGGCTACTAGTGTTCGATCATAGGTGTCTTCGAAGCATTGCTCGTATATCCTGGGACCACCGGGTAAGTAATGCAGTTGTTAGGAAACGAGTACTAGGTAGGGATGGCAAATCGATTGATGAAGTAGTGAAACTTCATCAGTTGAGATGGCTGGGACATGTGTTACGTATGCCCGACCACCGACTGCCCCGACGTGCAATGTTTCATGGTGTAGGAGTAGGTTGGAAGAAAGCTAGGGGTGGCCAGACCAAAACGTGGCACAAATCAATGAAGTCACTGACAAGTGGACTGGGCCATGTTGGTAAGTGTAGACTACCTGGTTGGGATTCGCGAGATGACAGCAACCGATGGTTAGAGACCTTGAATGACATGGCTCAAAATCGTTTGCAATGGCGAAGATGCATCCACTCTTTGTGTTCTACCAAATTCTAATCTTCTGAATTTCTCATGTCTTTATGTTTTTCTCCTTCCAAATATATTTCACTGTACTATACTCCTTCAATAACATCTTCAAACTCTAATCTTTCCGATTACTGCTTATACTCTTACTAATTCTTCCACTATGGGATTTGAATCGACAACTGCATCTGTGTGCTAATGTGGTATGGCAACTCGAACTGATGTACGTACGTACGAAGTTCTACGTTGTGACTGACTGACTGATACCCGTGGCAGAGTTTATATTGGTAATGAAGACCGTAATAACCGTGAGCAGTGGTGGGTAGAGAAAGTGGAGGAGATGGAAAAAGTATCAGTGATAGTTAACCGCAGACAACTGATCAGACTCATCAGTGAAACGGATATTAGGGATTCGGCTGTTAGTGAAACTACCGGGGAAAGAGACGGGATTATTATTCACTCTCAATCCTTGAAACTAGACTGATGGACAGAACATTAAGGGACAGATGATATAGTTCTGTTTGGTGAAACGTTGACAAAATAAACTCTTGTGAACACTTTAAGCAACAATGCAAGTATGTTTTGGGTGCGGTTTTCTCTCTCCAAATGGAAAATCTTACTTCATAATCGGCTTGAGTCATCACCTGAATTAATAATAGAGAGTGAAGTAGCTGAGGTGGTTTGAACATGTCACGTATACCCAACCACCGTCTGCCTCGACGGGCGATGTTTTTCCTGGCGTGGGAGTAGGCTTGATGAAATCTAAGGGCGGTTAAATCAAAACATGGCACCAGTCAATGAAGTCACTGACAATTGGACTTAGCCATGTTAGTAGGTATAGACTACCTGGTTGGGGTCCGCGTAATTATAGCGACCAGTAGTTAGGGAATTTGAGTGACATGACTCATAATCGTTTGCAATGGCTCACGTGCAACCATTCTTTGTGTTTCCTCGAATTCCGAGGTTCTTAATTCCTTACACCCTCTCTTTGTTTTTTACTTCGCTAGTTTGTATTTTCTTTTCGAAAAGTATCTTCGAAGCCTAACCTTCCCTATTGCCACTGATACTGTTCCTACCTGTACTACTCGGAAATTTGGCCTGACAACTTCATTTCTCTGTGCTAATAGGGTATGGCAGCTTGAACTGATTTACATAAGTACTAGGTTCGACGTTGTGACTGACTGACAAGTAGTTATTAAATTGCATTCATTCGAACGGTCACTCGAACATTTGGTAAAAATTACTGTCTGTGGTTGCCATTTATTATTTTATTGAACCACGAGGCATTTTTGGAGAACAGATATTTATAAACCCGTCATATATTAATATTTGGTATCTACAAAACTTCACCGGAAGTTAACTGCAGTTATGTTATTGTCATACATAAGGAAACAGGGCGTAAGAAAGCCATGTTGAAAAAACGAACAACGCTTAAGCATTGTTAAAATCAGGTTTAAATTGGAACTTGTATACCGAACTACTCACCATAAATTTTGTTTTATCAAGTGATTTGTAGGCTTTAACAGCGTCAGATGGGAACAGGAACGTGATGAACGCAAATCCTTTAGACACTTGTGACCAAGGGTCGAAAGCTAAATGAATGTCTGACAGAGATCCTAGAAATATATGATTTTACGGTTCAATAAAGACTAACCATGAACAGAAAATAACTTTTCAAGGTGTTGTTCAGTGCAGGCGTATGATAAATTACGGACAAATAACCGGCCGGTCTACAATGCGATAATGAAGCGGAAAAATGTACCTCCAGTATGGCAGATACCGTTTCTTTATTTGTCTTAACTAACCATTTGGGCACGTCAACGTTTTGCACACAAGACGTTTCATTCTCTTTACGAATGTGTTCCTTAATCTTGACAGCCCTCCCGCCTAACTCCCCCTTCTTTTTGAGGGCTTTATTCAATTCCTCCTCTTTCCAAAAAAACACAAGACCCATACCTATTCAAATAATTTTTGCAGAAAAAACACACCATTTTTTAGAACCATAAAGTCTTTTATCCTAATCGGCTTGAAGAACTTTTTGACATCTTTCTGAAAACTGTTAGTAAGATTGTTCACTTATTTACAATTTTCACTTCACGACTTAAACCTTTTATTTTCGCAGCATAGGCAACTTGCTCTTGAACCATGGTAACGCAATATACAAACTATGCGCCAGATATCCCACTTCTCAATTCAAATTGTTCAAATGGTTGTGGACGGAATAGAAGAAGCTTTCGCTTAACAGGTTTCCCTGTCTAATAGCAGTGGATCACCAATACCTCCAGGCAAGAACCTAGGTATATTAACGATAATAGAGTAAAAAAGAATTTGGTAGACCATAATAATATGTTATCCTTAGTCTTTAAGAATAGGTCAAGTTTACTCTGAAAAGACTTCTGGGAAGTCACTTTGACTAGCTCATTTAACAACGAACTCCAGCATTTCACAACTCTGAAGTAGTAGAAGTTTTGTCTATAGTCCGTTCTGCTATGTTGGGTCTTCAGTTTCTGGATGTTACCCCTTGGGTTAGTAGTGTGACTAAGCTTAAGTATATGTTTAAGGGGATGACCAGAAGTGTTAAGGATACTGTAAGTCATTGAAAAGTCACCTCTAGGACTCCTATACTCTAACTCGTAAAGGTTAAGTGATTGGAGGCGCTTTTCATAAGGTTTGAATTTGAGTCCCCGAACTGATTTCGTTAGTCGACGTTGGATATTGAGGATGCAACGGATGTTCTAATTTTACAACTAGTTACCAGTAGCACCTTCTATGTTCGATCGTTCCCAGTCAGATAGAAATCAGAAGTCAGATGAGAAGAGGCAGGAAAGATATATTTGATTCGTTACCAATATATCGAGGACCTTTTCTATAAGCTGGCTAATGAAACGTAGGAGCTGTGTCCCACGCCGAGTTGAAACGTGATCTGGTACGGATGCATGACCGAAAGCCTTCAGCTAAACAAGTCCACTTAAACAACGTGGTCAGCATCCAATGTCGAACACTTAATGAGCTATTGATTTTGGGGAATTATTTACAGCTACAGATCACTCCCCTCCCCCTAGTGAGGTAGTGATGCCCCTAAGACGTGACCAGCCAGAAGTTTAAACCCAACGAGTTTGTCGTTGGTAAACACTCTTCTGATAGCTTGCTTCGTTTAGCAGCGTCTGGTCGTCTTTCCTTAAGCTATGGGACCAAAATGTACAACATAGCAATAAAGAAATATAGTACAATGAAAGTTTCGGTTCCTTGTGAAACTTCGTCGTCCTTTTCCAGCCGTCCTGGAAAAGAGGAAAAGTAAAACGTGTGAGTGCATGTCGAAAATACACTAGTACTTGCGTAAGGACACAAGATGAGCGGAAAAAGAAATAAACTAATACCCTTACAAACAGCTTAAAAGCGATCGGGAAATATATATAAATATATATACGCTCAAAAAAAATAAAAATGTTTTTTTTTGTTTTTTATATAAATAAAAAAATGAGCATATTAAAAAATTTGATGATAAACCATGAAAAGGTAATTCAAGATAAAGCTTATGTCCTACGTGCAATATTCGTTAAGATGTTCTGGAAATCTGACTCGTCTTCCAGAACGCGTTGTTTTAGGTTTATTTATCGATGTTGACGAAGTATCAAGTTGTGTGTCGGTTGTCGTGTAGGGTACTACGAGTGTAGTGGCTGTGTCGTTTGCTTGTACCGAAGGTGAATCGACGTAGCTAGGGTTTCCTTCTAAGTACGCTGCTTTGAGTCGATCGATACTGATGCTATCGTTCGTACCGTTCTTATCCACTACATAGTACTTAGGTTCGCGTTGAAGAACTTTGAAGGGTCCTTCGTATGCTGATTCCAGAGGCCGTCGATGTGAGTCTCGACGAACGAAGACGTGTGTACTATGTCGTAATTCGGGTTGAACGAAAACATCAGTTGATTAAGGTCGAGTGTGAGCAGGTTTAACTGAACGCATAGCGTTTGCAAGCCTACTCGTGTAAGAGTTTAGATCCATGTTCAATGAAGAAGCTGAAGGATCTACGAATTCTCCTGGGAGTCGAAGTGTCGTTCCGTAAACGAGTTGAGATGCCGTGTATCCAATGTCAGCTTTCACTGCATTGTGGATACCTAGCAAGTCGAGTGGAAGAGCGTCTGTCCACTGTGAAACGTTTGAAGCTGATAATGAAGCTTTTAATTGTCGATGAAAACGTTCTACCAACCCGTTTGCTTATGGGTGGTAGGCGGTCGTTCGGAAGCGCGTGATTCCTAATAGTGAGGTGAGACAACGGAAAAGTCCAGATTCGAATTGGCGTCCGCGGTCTGTAGTGATTGTGGAAGGGCAGCCGAAATTTGCTACCCATCGTTCGACGAAAGCGCGAGCCACGGTTTCAGCAGTAATGTCCTTAATCGGTACTGCTTCTGGCCATTGAGTGAAACGGTCTACGCATGTTAAGAGATATGAGTATCCGTTCGAGTCGGGTAAGGGTCCTACCAAATCTAGATGGACGTGGTCGAAACGAGCGTCAGGGGCAGTAATGTCCTTAATCGGCCATCATCGAAAGTTCGTTGGCCGATGACTTCTCTCATTCTAAGCAACATGTCCGTCGCAGAACCATGTTGCAAGTCGATATTGTTAAGGAGTTGGTCTAACCGTTGTCGATCAGTTAGGTCTCCTCGTTTTAAAATCGATAGCTTAAGCGTTTCGTAAGGTTCGGGAACATCACTAGTAAACATACTAGGTGTTACGTACCTGTTAAACTCGCGCGGTAACGCCTTAACTACCGCGAGGAAACGTGTGCGCGAGTCCGTGATTCCGTGCATGCAAAAATCGGCTTCTGCATAGCAGAACCAGGACTCGATATTGTCGGGCCAAAATGGCGTTAACTGAATCGAAATAGGGGGAATAGACTTAAACTTAAGAACCTTAAAAGAGTGTTCCGTCATAGTAATATAGATAACGAAAAATGTCTAATTAAAATATATCCGGGAAAAAAAATTCGCGATAAAACAGTACATCAAAATATATAAAATTCAAATAAAGAATAACAATGAATAATAATATTCCTAAATGGAACAGACTCACAGTATATTGACTTGGTGTACCAGATCACGTCGGGTTCACCAATGAGGATGCAACGGATGTTCTAATTTTACAACTAGTTACCAGTAGCACCTTCTATGTTCGATCGTTCCCAGTCAGATAGAAATCAGAAGTCAGATGAGAAGAGGCAGGAAAGATATATTTGATTCGTTACCAATATATCGAGGACCTTTTCTATAAGCTGGCTAATGAAACGTAGGAGCTGTGTCCCACGCCGAGTTGAAACGTGATCTGGTACGGATGCATGACCGAAAGCCTTCAGCTAAACAAGTCCACTTAAACAACGTGGTCAGCATCCAATGTCGAACACTTAATGAGCTATTGATTTTGGGGAATTATTTACAGCTACAATATGTTCCAGAGTGTCTTTATCTTTTTGGAATTAGGAAGGAAATACTATATTTCCGTACTCTAAGTGGGGACGAATAAAATTAATGAAGATTATGTGGAAAGTTTTACCGTCAAACTGGCCAAAAGTGCGCTCCTATGTTACCAGTGTAATGTTTGCTTGAAAGGCGTATTGTCACAGTTATCGTACGACTTCAAGTCGTAGGTTATTAACACTCCTAAATATTTTTCAACTTCGGAAACTTCTAAAGAGGGGTAACCGAAGTTGTAGCTATAGTCTGCAACATGTCGCGGATGGAATACTCTACATTTTGAAGTGTTGAAGGTAAGTCCGTTGTCGTCTTCTCAACTTTGAAGTAGAGTCACATGCTCCTGAAGTGCTAGTATATCCTTTTGGTTACGTATCTCTCTCCAAAGTTTCACATCATCAGCAAAAAGCAATAAGTCAGATGAAACTTGTTGTGAAAGATCGTTTACATAAATCAAGAAGCGAAGATATCCTAGTATTGAGCCCTGAGGGACCCCACTAGGACATTCCATAGCCTAAGAGCAAGTGAAGTTTACCCTGACTTTAAAATGCCGGATTTATATATAAAGCGAGCTAGTCAATCGGAGTGGTGGTGCCAGGATTGAAGCTGCTTCCCGCAGTACAGCAGAATGTGTCATATCCGGATCGGGAGAAGTATCTTTTCTTATGTGCTGCCGTTTACGGAGCACCAGTTCAGTGCTCAGGTTCACTTCTGAAAGTCCTGTACAGGTGCAGGTGAAGCTTTCGTCAGTGTAGTTGATGTGTGTCAGCTGGAATATTTGAGAGTATTGTTCAGCCAAAAGATTAGCGACATCACCGTCGTTATTGGTCGGACCATTAGGGCCTACCAGTTGGAAAACTCCAGCTTTGCCTTGTCGAAAAGAAGCTGCGTAACAGAATAATCTTTTCGGGTTGGTGACAAATTTATCGACAAGCTTGGTCTGGTACTGAAGCCAGTCTTCTCGTATTGCCTTTGAGCATATGTTCCTCATATGTTTGTAATGCCTGTATGGGACGTTATTGTCAGTTCGCCTATATTCGGCCCAACAGTGCTTTTTGCGGCTTAGCAAACGACGAGTGCGGTTCCTGATGATCGGAGGTTGTTTGCAGCTTTTCGGAACCATTTGAGGAACTGAATGCTTAGTAACACTTAAGATCGTGTGCAGTAAGAAACCCCAATGAGCATCCACTTCAAGATGAGGGTGAACATCCCAATCCACCTGTTGTAGATAGTCATGTAAAGCTAACACACTCAACCGTTTGAAATTTCAGCGCTTGTTGTTAGTGAGATATCTTAGCTCAGTTTTGCTGACAAAACTGAAGGATAGGACGGCGTGATCACTTTTACCCACGGGAGCCAGAATTGAGAGGTCGTCGACTAGGAATTCTTCATTTGTGAATACCCAGTCTAAGCGCGACGGCGTCTGACTGTTTCTCCACCGAGTTGCCGACTTCACATTTTCGAATAATCCCAGGTCATCGATGAGGTTGAAGAATAGAGCTTCAGTAGAGTTGTCACCTCCAATGTAGGTATGTTCCGTGAAATTGATTCTAGGAAGATTGAAGTCCCCTAAAATCAGGATATGAGAGAATCCGAGACGCGTAGAGCGGGTTAGTCCTTCCAGCAAACGATTGTCATACTCAATATCGGCAGTGGGCTTCCTGTAGATTACCTCACCTAGGCACCTCGAGGTGGTAGACAATCTTACTTAGCACCAT